CATCTACACGAGATATTGCTTTTAACATCTCCTCATTTTGAGGAGAAGTCCACTCTGATTCTGTCATGAGCGATCATTTCCCTCTTCCATTCGAGGGGAATGTTGTTTAAAAACCTGGCATTAAAAGATGCCTGGTCTGGCAGCGTCACCATCTGGGACGCTGCTTTAGACAGTTCTAAGTAGAACTGTTTTAAGCCTTTTTCCGCTTTGTATTTAATGTTGCGGTACTTCTTTGTCACGTTCAATGCAGCAGAGGCTTTGATGAAGGTTCTCATCAGTATGCTGAGAACTTCGAGGAACATGCCCTCATCTCCTCTGAGGAGAGTTTCGTCTCGGAGTCTTATTCTGAGGTCGAATGCGGGTCCCCCTAATCCGTGAATCAAGCAGTCCAGATGGACTTCGTCAAATTGGGGACCTTTGCATCCTCGTGAGGCGAGGAATCCCAGTAGGTCTGTGAACCACTGCCAGAACAATTCCATGTCGTTCTCTCCTGACCATTTCTTTTCAGGGAAAGCCAGCCCATTTTTTAGAGCTTCAGGCTTCACTCCCTCTGGGTAGGGAGTGAGTATTCTCACTTCAGCCATTCTTATGGCCTTTTCGTACCATTTCTCCAGGTACTCCTCTTGCTCCCCTGCCTTCATGGGGTCGCTATCCAATGGAGATTCTCCTTTGGGGGGGTTTTCACTGGGGGGAATTTTCCTTGCAGCGTTTCTCTGGTTTCAGGCGAACTCACCTCAAGTTGTATCTGGATTCTCTCATTGTTTTGAGAGAGTGTGGTTGTGTTACCTCTCTGTTCGAGAGGTTCATTGATGTCATATCCATCCCCGGCCATCGACTTCCGGTCCCTCCAATCCCTCCGGTCTAACTCCGCTCCTTCCTCACTAACCTCGGAGCTCCCGTATTCCGCAATCCTCTCGGTACCCCTCGATGGTCACCACCCCCTCATTTCAACTTATTACCTATGCCTCCCTAAGTACGGAGCCCCGAAGACTTCCGGACAGCTCCGACGTTGTAACGGGTCTATCGCCTAGACTCGAGACAGAGAGAAGGGGGAGGGTGGTAGTGTGCGCAGGTGTGGTTCGTTGGGCCGGGTTTTGGTCCGTGGGTGCTACTGAGTCTGCAAAAACCTCAAACAAACACTCACCTACGTCTCTCTTGGACGTCAAGGCTGAGTATTATGATGTGAGGGGTCTTAGACGTGAGCAACTAGCTCAGAGGGGGCGTTAGGGTCATGGATGGCGTCTTTGCCACTTGGATGCAACTTCTGCTTGTCCCTTCATGGGTCTATTCAATACTAACTTGTTATGTACAAGTTGTTATCTAGTTTTTATATGTTTGAATGAAATGAATGGACTGGGGGAATGTAAACGGGCCGTTAGGCAACCGTAAATGATGAATATCCAATTGGGAACAAAGAAACAATAAAAGAAATATGAATGAATGGGGAATATATCATAACGGGTCCGAAATGGGAAATGTAAAAGTTAACTCCGCAACGCTTCGCCACAGCGCCCGCCTATCCTCCCGTCAGCAACCTCCTCGTCTCCAGCTTTCCAATGAGCCCCTATTCGTCCCATTTGGTGCAGTAGTTGTTGAGATGTGGCCATTGACAGGTGCTGTCAAGACCACGTGAGACTCTACTCCGTGCTGAACCATCCAGGCATGGGATTGCCATTCTGGGAAATGCTCCGGGGGTGAAGAAGGAAGGTAGAGCATCACTATCGGGTGGAAAAACGGCTGGGTTGTATGTGTAGGTATGGAGATCTGGAGAGGGGGTGAAATTGGCGGCATGGTTGGGCGTGGGAATTTTGCTTGGGGTTGTCGGGAATGATGGGGAAAATAGGGAAAAATAAGGAATGAGTTTGTGGAGTGTTGGATAGTGATAGAATGAACATCGGGAGCGTCAGAGGGTATGTGGTATATGTTGGTGGCCAAATTCCGCAGAATCCGACTTTTTGCGGTACACGGAGTTGTCCCCACAACAACGTCCGCTAGCGCACTCCCGCCTCCGCTGGGCAATACACTCGCCTGCCCTGCAGAGCCCACCTTCGGGCCTATCCCTCCTTTCCGTTTCTGGGTTATCGCCTGCCTTTCTGCTAACCCCACGACCCGACTCGTCAGTAATATTCAGTCGGCTAATGTTTAAACCCCGTTAGCTCTGCTCCATTCGGCTCCACCAATTGTGGACCCGTCTTCGCTGTAACCATATATATATCCCACTTGTACATAGGCTACACTCCAGTAATAAAATCAACTCGAGTTACCCCCCTTCGGTTCTGATTGCCAGTCAGTAAGTTAGGGCACAGACATGTCACTAGGCACAGCGCTCTTGGCATAAGTCGCTGAGGCCAAAGCCCTCCGCTATGGAGACTCTCCCTCGTCTCGAACCTGGTCTCTGACAGTTGAAGGTAGATGTTTGGCCAAACCTTTGGTACATGCCAATTCTCCTGATTTCTGAACGGTGCCTTCTTTCGGCATCATCTTCTCCTATCCTTGGGAGAAGGATCTCCTTTGCGTCTCTGTCAAGTCGCTGATGATACTCCAGTGTACTTTCACTGGTTGTTCTTTTCGTGAATTTTTCACAAGTTTTGGTTTTGTCCTGGCCCGTGGCCCAGGGGTATTTTTTTGTTTCCTCACTATTTTGTGAGAAGTTTATCTCCTTCAGCAGGTCCGTCTGCTCGCTGATTTTGTCAGTCAATGTGTCGATTGTGTTGGCCATTCTTTCTAGAGTTATCTCTAGATGAGCCATGCTATTATGGCTTGTTTCCTTGATCTTTTTTTGGATCGAGTTTATTGTGTTTATTATGTGCAATTCCTGGTTTTCCAGGAGGAAGTTTGGCTGGGCAAGCAGTGACTCTCCCCAGTTGACATTGCCGCTTCTGGGGGTTCCAGAAGGGGTTCTTGGAGTAAAAACTCCATGCTCACTTTGTTTAGGTGAGGCCGTTGCGGAGGGTGCTTCCCTTTCATAGAGGGGTCTGTTCGCTGGTTTTTCCTTACTTTTCCATAAGGCTTCCTCAGTGAACTCCCTCCTTTCGGTTCGCCTCCTCTTCATTATCTTGGAGACCTCCTCCGAGGTTGGCGACCTTGCCTTGTCTGGCATGGTGTGGGGTAGTGTGAACAGCAGAAGTTCTTTTGGAGCTTCCGCACTCTGGGAGATCCTGCTCTCAGGGCGTTTTTTTGCGCCTTCTTGGGCTTCCAGCCTGAGAAGAAGTTGGTCTTCATTTTCCATCCTCCATTCGGACAGAACCTGGAACAAGTCCAGTAGTTTTTCAGATAGCTGATGTGGAGGTTCTTCCCTCTGTTTCCCTTTGTCTGCCTTTGGGGCTTGACTTGGGGACATGGGGGAGGACTCCAGGGGATAGTGGGGCCCTGGAGTTTCCTGCAACTCTATCCAATCAGCTTTTTGGGCTGATCGTTCAGTGCTTACATGTTTGTTGTGCAAGTCAATCACCTCCTGAGGAGGTGAGGGATCTTCCCCCCTTGGGTTAGATCGATGTGATGTGGGGTTCTAGGGGTATTGGGCCCCACACTTACTCCACATAAGTTTCTAAAACCTTCAGGGACCAGCCCTGAGGTGGTTGCTTTTTCTGGATCGTGTTGATCCTCATCGTCTGACAATGGCTGTTGATTTGAATCTCCCATGATGGGAGATTGCGGTTTCTTAATAAACCGCTCGTTTTTTTTATTGTCGCTGCAGACGCGACCTTGCCCTTGCAGGGGTGTGTTTAGGCACCATTCACACTACCAAGTCAAATTGTTAAGATGTGATAGGTTTGGTGGGTTGTGTTGTAAAACACACCTCATACACTTAAAAAAGTGTGAGGTCTCAGTGGGTAGCTCAGCACACAGAGCCGTAAGTGATACAAAGATGTGTATTTTAGGGTGTGTGTAAGCAGTTAACTGGAGGTTCCCGCTTACCCATGTGACTATATGTATCTTGTAATTACATATGGCTCAGGGTTCAGGGCTATTGCCCTGACACCCAGGGAGCGCCCACTTCGTCGAGCCCACAGCTCGACAATGTAGCCCAGGCTATGTCATCGCATCCGACACAGCAATTGGATGTCCAGATGAACAACCTGGAGGAAAACCCTCCTCCAGGGCAATAACTCTACCCTTGAGGAAAGGGAAAGTGACATGGTAATATGCCATTGAGGCACCCATGAAAACACCTTCCCCCAACTCGAGGCCCCGCACACAATATTGTATGCGAGGAACCACAAGTAACAATTGCAGAAATCTCTACTTCATCAAAACCCACATCCACCACCACTCATGTGTAAACACCATTTACACACGAATCCTCACGGAACAAGTGAGGAGGAACACCAAAGACATATAATCTTTGGGTCAAAATTTATTTTCAAAAAACTCCTCTTCATCACTTTCCCCTCTGTGATACCTATGTATTGCCATTCACTTCAAAGTGATGGCCCCACACCCATTTATTCCCTCAATTCCTCTCACCGACATGTATAAATCATCCACTTTAAAGTGGCAACAATAAAACACTCATTGATAATCTCAAACTCAATGTAACTCATTTTTTTAATTTTATTCTCTTCATCATTAACCTTGTATGCATCGCAAATGCAACGCAAGGGGGGAGAATGTCAGGGCAATAGCCCCGAACCCTGAGCCATATGTAATTACAAGATACATATAGTCACGTGGGTAAGCGGTAACTTCCGTTAACTGCTTACACACACTGTAAAATACACATCTTTGTATCACTTACGGCTCTGTGTGCTGAGCTACCCCACTGAGACCTCACAGATCAGTTGTCATTGGTGAATGGTACACCACGGAATCGTGCACCCCTGCAGCATCCACAAATGGGGTACATCTCTTTTATTCGTATTGGGATCTGTGGCAGTTCTGTAGCGCAACTCGGGATGTCCCATGTCCACTGTTCAGCTTGAATTCCGTGATACACACATAAGAGACTATAGCGAGTTGTAAATCGCCATATGGATGCATCCTCAGACAGTCAGACTGGTGAAAAACTGGGATTGTAACTCGTTCACTTGTACAGATGCGTACTTTATTTAGAATGGAAACATGATGAGTGTAACGACTTGTCGAGTAACATAACAAACAAGAAGGATACTAATCCTCAGACTCGTGAATGGGAACTGAGGGGAACGAAGTTTTAACAAGCTCCGTTCGTGGAACATCAGTGTCAGACAAGCCAACAATAGAGTCCATCAGTCAAACAGAATAATTAGCCTCAGAGATATGAGATGGTCATGCTAGTGGAAGAGGTGATGTTAGTGGAAGTAAGGGTTGTCCCGTTAGGTGCAACGATGTTTTGAATGAACGCTTCCCCTAGACCACTTCTCCCCCCCCTCTCTGCGTGAACAGCGAACGTGTTGAAGAATTTGATACTGCCCACAAAAGACTGAGAGCGGGGTCCCTCGATACCCCATGATGCCACGACACAGTCGAGATTGTTAACTGGGGGGATGTATCCGCTCGTCGCGCGGCCACTGGTTAAATTCTCAACAGTTGCGTTGTATCCGATCTGCAACAATTCTACAGTTATCCTAGCCATATCCCCGGCAATGAAGGATACTGCCGGGGGAATGGGTCCCAGTGCTGGTCAGGGTACAGTAACGAATAAGTAATCAACACACTGTACGAAAGTCAGCCTCATTGGGTACGTACCAAAGACTTCAGTCCCATTGGGACTAATTGAGAAACCGACAAATGCGGAGATACGAACATGAACACCGCACTGAAGGCGAACTACTGCATTCAAGTACTGGACGCTATCCGCGGTCAAATTGGTCGGGCCAAATTCCGGAATGACAAAGCTCGAGGTAACAAGACCATAATAGGTCTACAAGTACGAGGAAGCGCACGGTTGAATGGTGAGATCCCGGGTTATACGCATATGAGTATTAAGCCTGAGGCGCGATAGCTTACGTTATTGAGGATCGCACCAGCGAATCCCTGATTGCTCTGAACCAATCCAGGGGTGTCCCTTAGCTCTCGGATGAGATTGGCAGTGGGATGGGCCGTGACAGAGGCGGCGAAGGAAAGAAGGGTCGCGATGAAGCTAGTTGTTGCGAAGTTCAGAAACATCTTGTAATTGTTTAGGTTTTCAATCCGTCGGAGGGTCTCCATTCTTTACATCCTTTGTGCAACCCCTATATACTGCAGCCAGAGTCGCAAGCCGTAGCTCAATTAGTACATGGTGATATTCATAGACATTGTGTTGATATATGGTGTATTGACGATACATTTGTGCATGCTACAATCATTGTGATTAACGAAATCTTCATGTTTATTGGTTTGTCTGATGCGGTGTTGATGCGAACATCACTGATACCTTCTTCCGGTTACCATTTTTCATACATTGATCCTTGCTGACCACCACATGTTATGGCTGCAAGCGATATTATTGATATGGGGGTAGGGCTCCTAGCGGATCGGATAACACACGGATATCCGCAGATTTGGCTTTTGACAGGATAATATCCGCGGTTTCTAATCCGCGGATGGGCGGATTATCTGCGGATCTATTGTCGCTACTGTTCTAGATACCCCACCTATGTTTCTATATTTTCTTCCAATTTTTTCAAGTCTTATTTGACCACCCAGGCCTGTTATTCCCAAATTAGGCATTTGACCTCCAAGTTTTCCACCATTCTCCCCATATTTCCATCAGTTCTCCACCAATATGGACAAATTTAGGATTGTTAGAAAGCTCTCGTCAAGGACAATTCTGACGAAATGCAATGCAACTTTGGAACATTTTATCTACAATCTGCAGTTGATCCGCATATCCGCGGATTTCTAACCGCCGGATACGGATTTTATTTCAAACCTCTAAAAATCCGCGGATTCTGTTCCCGATCCGATCCGATCCGATCCGCTAGGAGCCATATATGGGGGTTGGCAGCACAAGTTGGAAGCCTTCACTAGCATGCTTGCCTTGCTTTGCCAAACCTGCACAGCATGCACGCATTTCAGCAACAGAATGTGTCCAATGCAAGATGTAGTTTGCCAGAAAGGATGTTGTTGTTGTTATATCAAATTTGTTACCCCCCCGGTCTTGTTAGCACGTGACAGAGCGGCACATCCCACTGCATTACATCAGTAGGGACCTCAGGACGTTTGCATGGGGCCTAAAAGGCCTTTTTCACTATAAATGTCCCAGGACATCCTGGCCATTCAGTTTCATTCATTTGTTGCAAACATCCTCAGATGTCCTAATTCAGTTTGATTCAATGGTTGCAAATTGTCCTGGAATGCCATACTCGTCCATCCCATGGTCTGTGCACATGCTGACCACTGTCTAGAGGGATGTCAACACTGTTTCCCACGGCCCCAACACACTTTACACAGATAGATAGCCCCTTTGAATAGCTTCCAGAATATATATTTTGAGACTGAATTGACCAATAAATCATCGAGAAAAACGCAAAATACTTTTTTGGACGCGAGTCTTGGGTTAGTGTGGCTGTCCACCTCATGTCTGTGCACAGTGCTGGTCATTGTCTGGAGGGGTGTCCAGACTGTTTCCCACGGTGTCAACACACTTTGCGTAGTTGGATAGCCCCTTCAAATAGCTTCCAGAATATATAATTTGAGACTAAATTGACAAGCAAGTTATTGAGAAAAATGCAAAATACTTTTTTGGACACGAGTCTTTGGGATATCAGTGACCTGGGAATTTCAATGACTTCAATGACTGTCAGTGAAATTTAGGCTTCGTTCGGTATGAAGAAACAGGTTTCTTTGGCCTGTTTCTTCCAGTTTTTCAATTCAATATTTACCCATTTCTTTCTCATTTTTTCTACCTAAAGAAACACGCAATTTTTGTATTAAGAAACAGGCCAAAGAAACCTGTTTCTTCATACCGAACGAAGCCTTAGTGGCCCAAGCACTATCCCAAAGACTTGCATCCAAAAAAGTATTTTGCATTTTTCTCAATAACTTGCTTGTCAATTTAGTCTCAAATTATATATTCTGGAAGCTATTTGAAGGGGCTATCCAACTACGCAAAGTGTGTTGACACCGTGGGAAACAGTCTGGACACCCCTCCAGACAATGACCAGCACTGTGCACAGACATGAGGTGGACAGCCACACTAACCCAAAAGACTCGCGTCCAAAAAAGTATTTTGCATTTTTCTCGATGATTTATTGGTCAATTCAGTCTCAAAATATATATTCTGGAAGCTATTCAAAGGGGCTATCCATCTGCGTAAAGTGCGTTGGGGCCGTGGGAAACAGTGTTGACACCCCTTCAGACAGTGACCAGCATTGTGCACAGACAGTTGAGCAGCCTGAGGATTGTCATGGGAAATCAGATTCAATTGTGGCATTATGTTTTGAATGTCTACCCTGAATAATACAAATTTGATTGAATCACAGAAGCATTTGATTGAATTTGATTGAATTATAGAATCATCCCAGGACATCCCAGGACATCCACTAGTAAATACCCCCTTTTAGGCCCATTTGGAGGCCAAATGGCCCCCCCTCTATAGGCTGTCATTAGATGGCTGACTAGGCTGAGTGTCCATGGGTTGGTAGGGTCGGGGTGATGGTGTCCTCTGGTGTCTGGTTTCTGGTTGTGTATGGTTCATCTGTGGATGAGGTTACTCCCCGGGCTCAGTCACTGCGTTTAAGAGAAGATTATTCATAGCTGAATAGTACAGAGAATATTTGTATTATTCTCTGTTATATTGCACGCTTAGTGATTGCAGAGCAAGTGCAGAATATTTCTGAAAACCCCACATACTTTGACAGAGGATAGCACAGTGATAGCACAGACCGGATTTGGTGGGGCAACAGCCACGTCTGGCCATGTCTGGTGGTAACCCGTGACGGAATACTTCTCTGAATATTACAGACTCGGAATAGACGTCCGAAAAAAAAATCATGGGGCTTTTAGATCCGAACCCGACATAATATTAATTGTCCAATTATTAATTACTATTTGCACACCAGCTGCTTGCCCCTTTGTGCATCCCCCATGGAAGAACGAGTGATGAATACATCAACCACTATGACTAATCCTGAGGGAAATGAACCGAATATCCCATCCACCTCCCCCCCCCCAGTGGGCAGAGCCAACTCCGCCCCTCAGCTTGATCCATATGGATGTGCAACCCATGCCAGCACATACGGGCCCCTGACCGCATTTCCCCCCTCACCATCACCACTTGCATGGACAGGATTGAGTTATTATGGACTAAATCTTGGTGAGTGTTAACAGATAAACAAATAGGATAAAAAAGATCGTTAAAAAATCCACACCGAGCATATTTTAGGTATCCCAAACACTGCTAGTTGTCAGGGACTCATCCGGGGTCGAGGGGGCCCGGGTGTAGTGTCTGGGACTGAGAGCCTGGTGGGGGGCGGATCGGGCATGTGTACTGACAGGCCCGATGTGGGACAGTGGTCCCTGGCCACTTAGACTGAAGTGGAAAGTTGAGAAGAAGGCTACTTCTTCAGTTCCCACTTCAGGTTCGTTTATATACATGCGGCTTGGATCACATGATGGGTGCCACGTCACCCTTGCACACAGCCGTAACCACCCGGGTATCTCCGTGGGAGATCCCGAGGGCATCCGGTGCAGGTGCATGTACTGGGCACAGCGGGAAGTCGCCCAAGGTGCCCGGGCTGGGTACATGGTGGGCGCGCTGCAGATGGGTCAATGGTACATTGATACAGAGAAAGTCGTCCATGTAGAATAAAGAGAGAATAAAGAAGAAGTAAGATAGGGAGAAACTGAGGAGGGAAGAATGAGGGGGGAAGAAGGGAAAGGGGGAGGAGGTAAGGAAGGGTGGACCAGCGGGGTACCGGGTCAGGTTGGGCCGGGTGGAGCCGGGTCAGGCAGGTGTGCCCTGACACTAGTACTCCTCTTGCAAACCACCATCAAAATATTGGAGGACCTGTGTACGGCCAGAATCCACCTGGTCAGTCATCCCAAACCATTGAGAAACCAGCACTTACGTGATATGCTCTCAGGGACGCTAACCCCCGCTGCAGGCAACATCACAATGCAACAGCATTCCATCAGCCAGAGTCTCGCAAGCCCTGGAACTCACTTCCAGGATGCGGGTTTAGTTAATAACATTAACCCTATGCCATATGGACCTCCACTCACCGAGGAAGCGTTGAAACTGATCAGCAATCTTGTCCAAAAGCAGGTAGAGGAAAAAATGGCAGCTATGACACAGCAATTAGAACAAGTATTTCAACAAATGGAGGCAAATACCGCTAACGCCCAGCCAAGCAACCAAAGCGGTGGGAAAGGCCAAACTAGGGACAAGTGGCCAGCAAATGGATGGGTGAGTTGCACGTACCAGTTGTGGGGCGGCCCAACTGATCCAACACTGGGTGTCCAGGACCCGGTGCGAAAGGCGCTGTGTGATGTCATCAGCTGTAATGTAAAGGTGCCAGAGGCCGGAGATCTTCCTCCACCTTTGCGAGAGGGTGCTCCACCACCGTGCAGAGAAAATGGGGATCCACTCCTGATCCCAGACTGGAGGTTGGGGCTTAAGGACAAAACTAATCAATGAGTGATCAATGAAACAGTTAGGGTCAGTGTGAATGATCTGGTGCGTGGAAGTGACCCAGCGTACCCTTGCACAAAGCACTCCTTACACCTAGCGCAGACAATCAAGGCCTACATCGCCGAAAAAAAGATTGATCAGAGGGATGTTCATGACGCAGCAGAGCAATATTTCACTTCCCTCAAATCGAAGTGGACAAAATCACAGACTGAAGCTGGTCATCAAAATCTGGAAAACACTCGACTAAGAAAGACGATTATGGCACGATTGAAAGCAGTATGTTGATCCTTGCCTGATGATTGGCATTATTGATGTTAATCGAGTTTCTCTCCAGAAAGCCACCAGGCGATGTGAGGGCATAGCAGGGTTAGTGGGTAAAGTCGGTGCCACAGAGGATGAGATGGAGTCGGTTGTACTTACAGACCACATGTCTTCCAACAATGACATGGAAGCCGAAACCTCAACCACTGAAGGCCTGAGGCGTGAAAGGTTCTGATTCGCAGACAAAACCTGTGGAGAAGCTCTAAGGTGAGTCATAACCCAAAAGTTTGAAACCTATACACTATGCTAACTCATGTGCCAAGTTCGTTAAGTTCCTTTATGCATCAGATAAAAGTCGCAGGCTGGAGATGGAAGCAAGGGCGCATGCGAAGCGCAAGAGAATGCATCTCCAAAATACCCACAAACCTGCAAAACATGGAGATTACAATGGAGATACATTATCACAGTGACTTCCAAGGCTGCCAGTCCCAAGGTCCTTAATCAGCCCAGCAATCAAGGCAGAAGTGGAGGACAAGACGACAATCACTGAAACCTTGCCCTGGTGGGATGCTGTGGATGTCGCAGATGCACTAGTGGATGCACCGGATTTGGAAATCATTCGACAACTTGAAGAACAAGAATGCCAATCTGCTCCCAGTACTAGTACTACCATTAGCTGAGTATGTGTTCAAAGAAACTGCTGTAACATATCTCAATTCTTACCTACACACTGTGTGAAATTCAAACGTTGGGATGCTGATTAATGGTCAGAAGCACACACCAGTGAGCAATATTTGTCACATGCAGGGCTGTCGGCTGCATGCCTCTTGAGCCAAAAAAAAAAAAGGTTGCAAGGACAAAAACTCTTCATGAAGGGGTTATGCTGGCAGGATGTGGTTGGTCGAACATCAAGTCAAAGTGACAACATAAACAAACAACAACATGTATTGAGTGACAAGATTTTTATGTTTACTCGACATGTACTCTATATACCTTCCCCATGGAAAAGAGCATTAGCTATTAGAGCTCAAGTTTAGATATCGAACTCACAGGGTCAATGGTGATGGTCACCCAGAGTTTGACACCTTCAACCTCAACCTCGAGTCACACGAGATGGCTCTTTGTGCAGTCTAAGGCAACTATGGTCAATGCGCCATCATTCCACCACTTCCCAGCAAGCCATTGTTTAATATGGACGTCCTTTTCGCTGTTAAATGGGTTTTTTGAGTGAGGAGAAATGCAAACAAAGTCCCAACATACAATGGTGTCCAAATGGTTGGCTTCTGAGGTTGATATGGAACGAACCATTTGACATACCCAAAGGATACTCTTTTGCCACCGAGGCCCAAGTCCTCATCAAATGATAAAACTTGAGTGAGCTCCCCACAATAACACTGGCCTACAACTTCCACCTCAACCAGTGAGCTTCGAGGGTTCTTTGCTGACAATGATGCAAGGTATCTTCTTGATCTGACCACAATGTAGTGATGATTCCAGCAATGAGTTGGCAGTGGGATGCTATTCGGTTCGGAGTTCAGTGCAGTGTACTGATGCAGTTGCAGAGTGGAATTTCGGCGTTTAAGGTGATTGATTATTGAGAGAGACTCAGAGATGGTTAGTTCAACCTTTCTCTTCGGAGCAGGGCCCAACATGACCATCTGGAGCGGTACTTCCTCTGACATTCAAAGTTGGTCAAACACAACAGGGCTGGTGGTCTGGCAAACCTTACCATCTATCCTCTTATCTTCAAGCTCCCTGTTAGAACCGGGCAGAAACAGACAACTCCGGAGTGGAATCGGAGACTTAGCGTGGAGGGACCTTGGCCTCAGCGACTCAAGCGGAGCGCTGTGCCATTGCTGTTTGTCCATTTGGTCCTTAATTTCACAGTAGGTGAGCAGGAAGTCTCTAGGGGGCATTTCAGGTCGATTTCGGACTGAACCAAAACGAGTATGTACAAGCACCGATATATATAATGGAGGGGGCAAAAGCACAAGGAAAACAAAGGGTACCGAATCGGAACGAAGACGTCCGAACGGGAACAAAGGGTAGGAGAAGTGGAGCGGTACCGAAGGTCATAAGGCAGGACCTGTGATACGTCCGAAAGGAGGTAGGGAGGGCGAGGCCCAGAGGGGCAGGAGGATGAGGGGAAGTGGGGGTGATGACTAACTGGCTAGAATAGGAAGAAGCAGTAGTCCAAATAGGGATGAGGGGAAAACGCGAGAGATACATTACAAGCGGCGAAAGTGCCGAAGGCGATCCGCGAAGCTCGGGGGTTGCAGCGGTTACAGAGGTTACGGAGGCGGGGTGGAAAGTCCGAGGGATATTGGCAATGGTGTTTACGTAGTATGAGGTCACCAATGCAATGGACTAAGACCGAGGTAGGGACTATGATGGAGGCTCGGAGCAAAGGTATGAGCGGTGTCCGAGTACGAAGTACGGGACAGCGGTGGAAGGTCGTAACTTGGCAGGAGGGTGGCGGAGGAGTACCAGAGGGAGGAGAGAGGGGAAAGGTAAGGGAGGAGGAGTGGCGGAAAGGAGAGTTGTTAGGTCCGAAGGTGAGTATCGGAGCGGACAGGGGAAGCATGGGAGGGTGACGAGAGGGGCGGCGTTCGGGAAGGAGGAGCAGAGGTGGCGTGGGGGGTGAGAGGAGGTGTGTTGCCAGGACCGGAGGTGAGTATCGGAACGGCAGCGGTAAGGTATGACTCCGGAGGTGAAGAGGGTGGAGGTCCGGAAGTCGGGTAGGGGTCGGGTATGCACGGATATGACACTCCCTTGCTAAAGCTTGCACAGTACCACGATCATCGTGGCTTGCATTTATCAATAGCATTGCAGCTGAACTCTCAACCGCATTGGGTGACTGGGATGCCTCATTAAGCTGAAGGGATTCCGTCAGACTGTGGCTGGTGAGGATATATGTATATATCAGGACATACTGTTTGTGACACCTGGTTTGCACAGTGAAACTCACGAAAGAAGGAAACCTCCAACTGTCCACATCCGTGATTGTTGGACTTGTAACTTTATTGAGACGTTTGAAGAGGAATGTCCAGAAGCCGTATACAGGACCAAAGTCATGAATGAACTCGGCTGTGTGAACCGCATAATGATGGTTGGGTTTAATGATATCAGGACCGAAAATCTATTGTATAAGGTGGGATTCAGCATTCCAATTCCACAAGTAATTACGTACCTCCAGAATGCCTTTGAGGTAACTCAGCATGTATTTTTCGCCTTCAATGATCTGTGCCTCAGTAATTCTGCGAGACAACCAACACTTAAGAGCCATTGTGAGATCAAGAAAGTTTGCTGGCTCATCGGGATGTAGATTTGAGTGTGAATTGCCTGCAGCGGCAGCAGAAATTTTCTTATTCATGCATCCACGCGATTTTCCTGACTTTGTGGAAGATGCAGTTGTAAGCAGAATCGAGGCAGCCTCACGCGATGAAAGCTCTTGGTGGGGTTGAGTAACAGCAGACTAGCGTTGAGGTTTATACTAGTACTCCATTCCAAAATTCGAATTCGTGACATACTGATGACTCTTGTGCCATTTCCTTCAATAATTTGGCTTGGTCACATCTCTCTTTGGCATCCTTCTTCTCCTGAGCCTTCTTGGCAAGACGATTATTAATTAAATGCATGCGGGCTTCTCGTGCGCGATCAGCATCCTGTGATAGATGTGTGTCCCATATCAGAGGGACCTAGCTGAAGGATTAGTGCAAAGCATCCATGAAGCGGCATACTAGAAATGCACCATAACTGGTCCGAACACTGTTACCATGAGCAACCACTGGTCAGCCATCAGTGAGCCTCCTGCTGGTTCACCAACAGCAGTCGGAAGTGTGGCCATGTGTCCTGGAACCGTGAACTGAGGCACATAGGCACATCAGCACCTAACCCAAATCTTTGAGGTGTTGAAAAGGGTGGGTGCACACCTTGGAAAGCAGGGCATGAAGTTGAACAAGCTCGTGTTTTGGCTGGATGATGTTTTGAGCAATCCACATATGATAGAAATGGTTTTTGCTAAGACCTAAATTATACATGGTCAGCATGAAGACAGCGCCATGGCTTCCTTGCATCATACCAAGAATAAGGTTATGCATTGGATCGATTACTATCATCCTGCACAAGTCGAAATATGGGAGACGTGACAACTCTGACCACCAGCTAGAGTACTGTGTAGCATGTTTCTCCTTTAAAGCTCCCATTGGCAGATCACGGTATAACTCTCCCATTCTGCGGTGCTCTTCATTAGAACGACGCTGGAAACCTAAGACAACAATTCAGGCACAGAGATGAGACTCCTGACAGTGCGTACCTCTGACAAGAAGAGCCTCTAACTCATTTTTTTGAGACAGTGTCACCCAGCAGCGAGTGCAGAACATGGTGTGGCTATGGGAGCCAAAGCCTCCGAGCTTATGTGCTGCAGGCACATCACAAACAACGCACAGTAGCACAGCATGGACACGCCTGCCTTGAGGACATTTGCCAGTCTCAACCATTATTCCTTCCTCCCACAAGTGCAGGAGATCATTGACCAATGGTCTCATGTACTGTTGGACCTGGTTGAGGCTCGGCTCCTTGGGACCAGGAATGATACCTGCAAGGAAAAGATTGGATGTTTTATACCTGCAGGATCCTTAGAGATACATCGAAAGCGATAGGAATTGATAATTACTTAACATGAGGAGGGAGATTCGCTACACATAGCACCATGATGAATGAGAGGCAGACTGCTGGGATCGCCGATATGAGAACCTAAGACGCTTGTTTTGGTTCAATCCAACCATGGCAAAAGGGAAATACTTGCCAGTCAGTACCGAGTGTGAGGCCAATGTGAAGTTCTCCATTAGGACCCATCTTGCGATCTTCTGGTTCATTGCGAAAGAAAGGGGACTGATCATGACCCAAAATTGAGCAGGCAACGCAGCCATCAAAGATATCTTGATATACGCCCAGCTCCGGATGCCGGTCAGGTAATTTGCGCCACTGATCAAGGAGATCCTCCATCCTGGGTTCCTGCAATAACTCACGAAGCTGTTCACTGACGGATTTGAAGGCAAACTGCATTTTCGGCTCATGTCTCTTCGTGCTCTTCTCTTTCGTGTGTGTGTTTTCATTGTTTTCGAACAGGGGAACGGTCCCGTTGCTGTGTTTGCATTTGGTACAAAGTGCTGGTGTAGTGTCGAGTGCGGGGTAGACTTCTTGGCATGTGGGACATATTGGAAGAACTTGAAAGGAAGGCTCGATAGACATGTGTGAATGGACGGTCATTAAGGTCGAGGCAGAGACTGTGGAAGGATCGAAATGAAAGTTTGTGGCACTGAGGATAAGTTGAACTATAGACAAAATGGCCCCTATGACTCGGAATGGGACATGGTGATAGGAATGGAGCCAGATGGCCAAGAGGTAAAGAATTCGAATGGGCACTAAATAATGCGTTTGAGAATAAGGTGTCCAGGGCAGTGTGTTAGCTTGAGACAAGAAAGGGTCTGGGGAATTCTCATCCACACTGCCTGACCTAGGGATAGAGTGGACCAGGGGAATGGGAGAAAGGACAGTAGATGAAGGCCTGGCCTGAAAATCGGCCTTGTCCAGAGGTGCAGGCCCAGAATCGATGTCAATGCTGCTGGAATCCGACTTCTCGTTACTGGATGTTTGGGATCCATCTTCATCTTCAGCTACGCCATCATCATCAGGCTGTATGGCCTCGAAATTAACAAATCCAGGCAAGGGTGGTGCCAGAAATACATCTGGCTCCGAATTGTCAGAATTAGGCTGCTGGAGAAATAGGCCACTTCCAGACTCCTCAAATGCCGGTTCGATATTAGAGCCATAAGCCGAGATCGATGGGCCAGCTGTTATCGATAGGCCACTTTCAGACTCATCAAATGTCAGTTCAATATTGTCGATATTTGAGCCAGAAGCCGAGATCAATGGGTTGGCCGTTATCAGTGAGCCAGATGCAGATGCTGTTAAAACATTCAAGGAGTAGTGCTGGTGACTAACCCGTCGCTTTTCAGCGTTCTGATGGTCTTTCCATGTCTTGTTGTGGAGCACCTTTCCCTCGGTCCCACATTTGCTACAATGACACTGCTAGAGTTTCGAAACCTACATGTATCAGATCCCTCAGCACGAACTAGTCAGTTACCTTATTTATGGGCATTATGAACTTGTGCTCATGGGTTGACAATAAATCTGTGCTGCAAGGACATACTGATCGAGAGGGTCTCAGCAATGCCCGAGAACCACTTTGAATCCGCATGAATTCCGATCAATGTGACAAGCGTTCCTCTAGAACAGCGAAGTAAGTATTAATTTGGAAAAGGCTTCCCAACATCCCTCATCCTCGCAGATGCCCACAACGTTGATCGTGCGAAACAAATTGAGCTTGAGTGTATGACAGCGGGGGTTTGAATAATTAAGTGAGCAGGCTTCATTGACAGCTCATGTCTTTTTTCAGGCTGAACAAGAACAAGAAGAAGCTTGCCAAGAAGTATGACACATTCTTGTCCTCAGGAAATTTGATCAAGCAAATTGCTTGACTGCTTGGTCCCCATCTCTCTAAGGGTAAGTAGTGTCGCTTAAAAAAATAGTACCATTTTGTTCCTTACCCTCTGTATTCCTTTCTAGCTGGCAGTTGCCCACCCCAATTTCGCCTGCTGACAATCTCGCAATTGAAGTTGAGTCGACCATCAAGTTCCAGTTGAAGAAAGTCATCTGTTTGGGTGTAGTTGTCACTGGTCAGGCAAGATGACGGAAGATCAAATTCTCATATGTATGTTCGTTGTTACACTTCATCTAATTCCATAACCTCCAGGCTGCCCAATCCACCTCTGGGTTGTGGTGCAACAGCCACGAATGTCCTATGATGAGGGACTGCCACCCGAGGTTTGCAACCGCGAACCGGGCCTGCTCTGTGTGTCGTCCGAACGTCAGGAGGGCCTCCAGTTCCTCAGTTATGGCTCCATTCTCGTTGGGGGTCCCATCGACGTTGCAGACTGGGATGGGCTGAGGGAGCTGGGTGGTCTCAAGGTTGTGCTTCCGGATGAACTCAGGACTTATGAAGTTCCCGGTGGCTCCTGAGTCTAGGAGCGCTGACACGGACACAGAGGCAAGGGAGGTCAGGGCAGTCAGCTTCATGGTGAGGCTGAGTGACCTGGGGGACTGTTTAGAGAGGACATAGATAGCGGGTGGGGACACCGCTACTTCGGGTGTTACCCTTGGGGTTCTTTCACTCTCTCATGCTGGAGATGCGCTTTTTCTCCTCTTTTTTGCGATAACTCGGTGAAGCTTTGGCATTGCTGGCTTACACGCACTGCGGTATTTACACAAGTTATCCTCTACGGGTGCCCGGGACGCATCCTTCACTGGCCACCTTCCTGAAAATCCTCCTGAGGCCCTGCCTCTGGCTCTTCCCCCTCTCCCTCTGGTTCCTCAGTCAGCTGCCTCCTCAACCCCTCCATCAGTGCTCGAAGGTCTTCCGGGTGGAGGTGTCGGACCCGGTGGACCTTAGGTTGCGGGCAGTCTTGTGCGATATGCCCTGGGGCATTACAGTTGTAACACAGCCCATTCCTCCTCTGGTCAGTCCTCAAGCAGTCGAGGTCCATGGGTTGCGGGCCCGTCCCTGTAGGGGGGCGGGCTGCAGGAGTTGGGGGTGGGGCTGCAGGCCCAGGTCGTGGGCTGTGGGACGTGCGTGAGGGGGGTTTGCGGTTGGTGGGGGTCGCGTCAGGGTAAACGGAGGCCTGGGCGGGGGCGCTGAAGGAGAGAACAAAGGAAAGTCAGTTGGGAGGTTCAAACAAGACCACCACCAAGCTGTTCCCTGGTTCTCTAGTTAGGATGGGGGAGTGTACTAGTGTTGTTATTTATTGTAAATATAGTACCAATCCGAGTGTTTTGGCTAATTCTATTTTTATGGGTTAGTTTTAAAGTTCCTGGGAATTGACTTACAGATAAACCGAGCCCTGCGGAGCTGTTTCTTTATTGAAATTTCTTAATTTGTCTAGGTGTAATTCTGTGTAGCGTTGTTTAATTTGGATTTAAACTTGAATTTAATCTTCTACTTGGTGAAGTTTCAAAGATTCTATTCAGTTAATGAATTTGGATGGTGTCTGGAGTGTCCCTTGAGTTCGTTTTATTTTTTGTCTTATTTTATTGCTTGTTTTAACAGTAGCAAAATAACTGTTTTGTGTTTACACTTTGAAATCTGGAGTGTTAACCAGCTCTCCTGTTGAAATATCTACTTAATATTTCTCTCCTTAATTGCTGCCTTTTACTACAGTGGCAATCTTAACTGTATATCACTTTTTCGCACTGGAGTGACAACCAGAAATGCTTGGGAAAAATAATACTCTATTTTCTTACTTCTCTAAGGGGGGCGAAAAGTCGCAGAAAGGGTCTCCCTTTTATACTCCTTGGGTCGCCTTCCTTTTTCACGCTCTACCTTCTATTTACAGGATTTATTTACAGTGTATTTTTCTCAAACTGAATAAAAATGAAATTTTCATGCTATAGTTCTACTGTGCTTTTGCTGCGCTGAACTGCGGTTCTACTGCGGTCAGACTGCGCCTAGAATTCTTATTGTCCTCCCTCGCCTAAGCTATTTTAATGGTTAATTAGAACTTGGCTGCGCTGCATTTGCCGCAGTTACCTATTTCAAATTCTATATATATACCATTAAATTTGCTATGACTCGATGACTCTGAATTCAAACTTCGCATTACTATGCGTACGGCTGTGCTGAGACCTTCAGCTGATTTATTCCATTTTTATTTAGTGACATTTAGTTAAAATGAGACTGAAATGGTAAATGAGTGAATTATTCAGGTTTGAAACTGAAAGAAAAAGTTGCTAGTAGTCAAGAATTACTCAAACGAATGTGTTATAGCTCTCCACCTCATTAGAATATCGTTCCCTAAAATTCCTGCCATGGTCCGTCGTAGTTTAGTGGTTTTCGTGAATTTGTTCATATTCTCTGATTTCTTTTTGTATTATCACATCCTAATCCTCCATATGTATCGTTGGTTGTTATAGTAGGTTGTCCTTGAAGATATCATATTTTTATGTATTTTATTTAGGACTCTGGACCTCTTGAAGCTGTTTTCCTGTGCATTTTCAGGTTTCTAACTTCATGTCCTTGTATCTCATTCATTTCTGGATGTTTTCTCACGTTCTTAGTATCATAAATTTTCATTTATTCCCACCTTTCCAATGGTACTACAGTGTAGGTTGCTTATTTTTGACGCCTCACTTTGCTTCCGAAGGACTTTCTTTCTCAGCTCGCAAAACTTGTTTAAACTGTATGGAAACTAGCGGAAAGGCAGCACTTTTAAGTACTTTACCAATGTATCAGAGCAATTTCGTGTAATTTTGAGTAATGAAAATTTTTTCTCAAAAAAATTGGCAGTGAATTAGGAAACGTGTTCAAATGATGTCCAACTGGTCCGAAATGACATGGATAGATGGTATTATATTTGAGTTGGTTACAAACAACACCAGTTTGTCTGTGCGGCATCGCAATCACGTGCTACCTGAGCGTCAAGGTCCCTTAAGTCAAAATGCCTGCCTTAAATGCTCGCAAGCGCCAAGCACGCGAACAGAGGACAGGAAGCTCAAGGACATTTGGGAAGCGTCTTAAGCACTCAGATTTTGAGGGCGACTCCCCATCTGAATATGAGGACAATCCGGCTGCAAATTCAGACATCTCAACAGACTTATGCTCCGAGGGTGCCGATGCGACAGAGGAATCTGAAGAGGAAGACCATATAAGAAGCTTAGAGATATTTTACAGTGTCTTTGAGGAGCCAAGCCACCGAGGAGATGTTGAGAAAAGGACTCGGGAGGTATGTCCCATACACCCATAATGACCACTCAATATCCACTGTTCAAGGCGAAGCTCCGGAGCGCATATACTGGAGATTCCACTCGGACTCAGTATCGGGTGAAAGCAAAGCGCAGGGACCTAATGAAAGCGGCGACAACTTGTGATGCCGATATCCTCAGAAAGTTCTTGAGGCAGCCGGTCAGTCCTCATATCAGTTTCATTTTTCCAAGTGAGCACAACTGATATTTCTGGGAAGAACACCACAGAGAGAAGCCGAGAAAGCGCCATCATGGAATTTGAAGAGAGATTCACACAGTTGATGCGAGGTTTCGAGACAATGAGTTTGAAGGATGAGATGGTACGTGCATCTGTTACACACCATTGGACAGTATGCCAGAGCAATGTCATCGATCTCCCTGTAGGTCGGTGATGAAGAAGTCCAAGACGATATAGGCAGCAGCGCAGCACCAGAGGACATAGATGACGGAGAAGTGTTTGAAGATGGGACTTTGAACCGTGCCGGACCAGATACTCGACCACTTGCCACCACTGATGTGACCAATACAGAGCGCTCCACTGACATCCGCCAGTCCATTGAAGGCATTCTAACTGAAGAAGAACCCGAAGAAGATATCCTGGCCACTATACACAAACTCGTGAAACAAGCAACACGGATCACCTCAATGGCAACATTGAAAGAGATTATGGTCCTCACAGCGGTAGCTGGATATATACAGCTGTATCGAAAGCAGCGGTCCATTCCAGGAAGAAAGCACCAGAGACCTTTGCAGGCAGCAAGTCTTGCGGTGGCACAACGCATGGGAAAGGGCCCAGCATTTGCACGTAAAATCCGAGAGATGACACACCACATTAAACAATTCCGAAAGCTCCCAGAAAGGTGTCGATCAAAGAAAGGGGGTGCAAAGAGTTTTCTTCATAATGAAGCAGTGGTAATGGGTGTAAGACGGCATCTGGCAGAACAGCGCTTGGGCGAAGTAAACTTGAATCCATCTGAGTATCATCCACGACTCACTGCCAACATCTGATTAGGTGACAACTCAGAAATTAATGCAACATGTCAATGAGGTGCTTCTTCCCACCTTATTCCCTGAGGACACCAAGAAGACAATCAGTGAGCGGGCTGCTTGACGGTGGCTGTGGAAGTTGGGGTATCGAAATGTGGAGTCAAAGAAGGGGACATACACTGATGGCCATGAACGGCCTGATGTTCTGGCATATCGACAGAAGTACCTCGAAAAAATGTCCACCAATAAGGGGTTTGGAAGGTATGTTAACTTGTACTGTATATATATTGCCATAAATTCTTACTTCAATGGGTTGATGGGTGTGGGTCAGATTCTTTCGCGAGTACGATGGAAATGAGATGGAGCCAGTCCCAACTGTCTTTGCTGACAAGGAACATATACCCGTGTTCCAGGATGAGAGTATATTTCATACTAATGAACACCGACGCCGTGTTTGGATAGAAAATGGCAAGCAGCCCCTCAAAAAGAAAGGCAATGGTCGTGCTATACATGTTTCCGATTTTATCACTGAGAAGGGTCGACTGGTCCTAACAGAGGAAGAAGAGATACGAAACCGAGAACGCCCAGCAACCACTCAGATTAAGTCTGATGCAAGAGTCATCACATATCCGGGGAAAGGTCATGATGCGTGGTGGGATGGTCAGCAACTTGTTAATCAGGTATGGACTTGAAATTGACGTAAAGTGCATAATTGATTATTTACAGCTGAAGGATGCAATTGATATATTTGAGTTCAAACACCCAGACTGTGTCGGAGTATGGATATTTGACTGCTCTTCAAGCCATGAGGGATTCACCCCCGATGCGTTGAATGTGAATGGCATGAATGTGAATCCGGGTGGAAAACAGAAAAAAATGCGACCAACCATCATCCCACTCGACAACCCACCCCCATTACCAAACGAGGAAGATACTCGTGGCCAAGTACAGCTAATGGTCTACCCAGATGACCCAAGCATCCCTGCTGGGCTGCAAGGAAAGCCTAAAGGAATGCGCATTGTGTTGCAGGAACGCCAAAGTGTGTGGAGGAAACTTGTTGCCGAAAGTCCAAATGGGAAGCCGATTGGGACCTGTGAGCAGTGCCGAAAGTCTCAAGCTGCAAAAGATGCAGAAGCACGCATTTCTGCTGCAGAGGCAACTGGTGAGGAAGTAGAGGACATCCCACTGTCAGATGCACTGGATGACCCAACTGCGGCCTCTGACTGGTGCTGTATGATGCGTGTTCTGTCCCAGCAATCCGACTTCAAGAGTGAACGGCCACTTCTTCAGCAATATGTAGAGGAGCGGGGCCACATCTGCTTATTCCTACCGAAGTTTCACTGTGAGCTTAACCCAATTGAGATGTACTGGGGGTACGCAAAATATCGTGAGTCAAATCAATTTCTTGATTGATATCATTTTCTAATATGTAAGCTCTTCAGGATACAGAGCTGCAACGGATGGGAAGTTTAAATCTGCAAAAGCTCTGATTCCACAGTGCTTGGATTCCTGTGACATTGTAACAATCCGTCGCTTTTTCCGTAAAACCTGGCGCTATATGGATGCATATGAGTGAGTACTTAATTTTGTCCATTTGCTTATTAACATTCCCTACATAGAAAAGGTCTTACAGGGGCACAGGCTGAGTATGCAGTTCGGAAATACAAATCCCATAGACGAATAAAACAAAGTCTTTTTGATAACTAATTTCGTGTTCCTTACCTCCACCTTCCAAAAATAGAAATTAGTTTTTAAAAAAAAATTGGCAGTCATACCAAATTTTCAAAACCTGGTAGAAAATTACATTATCCACTGTTTTTATAGTAGGATTTTAATTTGAGGTGAAGTTGTCTAGCAGGATTTTTCATTGCGGAGCTGCCATGAATAATCAACCTACACTGTAGCTTCATCGCGACCCTTCTTTCCTTCGCCGCCTCTGTCACGGCCCATCCCACTGCCAATCTCCCCTGGATTGGCTGACAGCAATCAGGGATTCGCTGGTGCGATCCTCAATGAAGTAAGCTATCGCGCCTTAGGCTTAATACTCATATGTGTATAACCCGGGATCTCACCATTCAACCGTGCGCTTCCTCGTACTTGCAGTCCACTAATTATGATCTTGTTACCTCGAACTTTGTTATTCCGGAATTTCGCCCGGCCAATTTGACCGCGGATAGCGTCCAATACTTGAATGCAGGAGTTGGCCTTCAGTGCACTATTCGTATCTTCGTATTTGTCGGTTTCTCAATTAATCCCAATGGGACTGTTCAAGTCTTTGGTACGTATCTAATGAGGCTGACTTTCGTGCAGTGTGTTGATGACTTATTCGTTACTGTACCCTGACCAGCACAGGCACCCATTCCCCCGGTAGTATCCTTCAATGCCAGGGATATAGCTAGGATAACTGTAGAAGTGTCGGACAACGGATACAACGGAACTGTTGAGAATTTAACCACTGGCCGCGCGGCGAAAGGATACATGCCTTCAGTTATACCTCCTGTCTGTACCGCGGCATCATGGGGTATCGAGGGGCCCAACTCTCAGTCTTTTGTGGGCAGTATCAATTTCTACAACACGTTCGCTCGTCACGATCGCAAACACGGGGGGCTGGAAGTTGGTCCGAGGGGAGCGACCATTCAAAACATCGTTACACCTAACGGGACACACCTTACTTCCACTAACATCACCTCTGCCTCAGAAATAGCCATCTCATATCTCTGAGGCTAATTATTCTGATTGACTGATGGATTCTATTGTTGGCTTGTCTGACACTGATGTTCCAGGAACGGAGCTTGTTAAAACTTCGTTCCCCTCAGTTCCCATTCACAAGATTAGTATCCTTCTTGTTCGTTATGTTACTCGACAAGTCGTTACACTCATCATGTTTCCATTCCAAATGAAGTACGCGTCTGTACAAGTGAACGAGTTACAATCCCAGTTTTTCACCAGTCCGACTGTCTGAGGACGCATCCGTATGGCGATTTACAACTCGCTATAGTCTCTTATGTGTGTATCACGGAATTCGAGCTGAACGGACATGGGACATCCCGAGTTGCGCTACAGAACTGCCACAGATCCCAATACGAATAAAAGAGGTGTACCCCGTTTGTGGATGCTGCAGGGGTGCGCGATTCCGTGGTGTACCATTCACCAATGACAACTGATCCGACGCTCCAGTTTGTTGGCACCGTTAGTTAGGCAATATCATAAGGAGTCCTTCAACAGGTACTGAGTTATCTCTAGGCCGGATCGGCGCTCTGTATTCTCCATTTATTCCTAATGACACCACTAGCAAGACTGGGGGCATCTGAGTGGCCGGTGCTGAGCTTTACTGTGGGTATTCGTTGTCGGTTCATCACTATGCTACCTTTGATCATTATTGCCTTCAGCTCGTGGATCCAAGTGCTTTCGCCCAAGGTGTGGACGTGAGCGTTGCATTCTGGCAGGAGATTGTCGATGCAAGCCACGTGTGCCCCAGTTCCATTATCAGTAATATATATCAAATCCAAACACCGCCAACTCGTACAACATATCGGGGACCTCTTTCCCGTAACTGCTCCGCCAAACCCTATGCCAACTCCAATATTGGCACAATGGCATGTAATAGCGGGATGGTCTCCGCCCCTTTTGGATTCGTCCGAGGCATCGACCCCCGCTAACGACTACTCAGTCCCAAGTGACCCGCAGTTTTTTTCTCCCGTGGCATTCTTTTTCTTCAAAAACATACCGAGCTACTTGATGATCTTCTGCTTGCTACGGCATGATATGCACTCGCGCTCAGCTATGTCACCCCATGCATTTGCAATGTCGTGGATCGAAATAACGCTCAGTTGGGGTCCCAGCAGGTAAGACGTTCGAGCAAGCGTATTCGCACTCATACTGACATGCAGTTCCAAGAACTGGTTTGGTAATCTCCGGGTGCCAAGGAGGCGTCGAAGACGCGATCAGCTCAGCCTTGACTGGTCCCATCTTGCGGGTCTAGTCGAGGTCGGGGCCGTAACGAACACATCACTACAGGACAGCATTCTCAGGGACGCAAACTCGGTAGTTGGATATGTCGAGGATGCCGTTGTAAGTGATGCGAAATATACAATGTCTACTTTCTCCAATGTTTTATTACAGAGCAGGTTAATTCAAGCAGCCCTCGCCCTTTCCACGCTTATCGGTGGGTGACCGTATACAAAAAAACGTCATCCAGGACGTGCAGACGTTGCCACGTACGTGTTCGTTTCATGTATTTTATCGCCCGAAATGCCTCACGCTTGGGAACCTTGTGGCACGTGTGGTAACTGCCCTGTGCGCTATCGTTGGAACCATTCTTTTCGCGTTTCCATACATCATTTCACGTGGCGGATTGACCAATATCGCACCTTCAGGGACTACGGCTCCAATGCTCGCTTCGTGAATCGATGCTCCTAAGCGAGTCAGTGATAGGCGGTGAAATCGGAGATTCGGTCGGATAAGATGAAGTGTATTTGTGGGGGGAATCTTGTGTATAAGAATTTGGGTCGCAGGTCCATGCGCAAGTTACGAAGTCGCAAGTTCTGTGTAGCATTCTCGATGTTCATAGCGCCTTCATTCTTTGTTGGAACTGTGGGAGGTATCTTGGATATATATGTCATGAGACTGACAGTGCTAACGCGACTTGCTAGCTGGGGAATAAGTGCGGTACGAGGCGTGGGACCGTGAAGAAATCATGACCAGATCGGGTAACATTGCATAGCCGCAAACGTCATCGATCGCTGATATGGCGGTCATGATCGGATTGCAAGCCTTGACTACGGAAATAGGCATGCGCCGGACTTCCGGTATGAAGCACTGTGTGCGAATGATGTTGGTTATATATGACTGCGTGGTACGTCAACGTAATTGTTGGAGAGGCGCCATGGTCGCAGCCTAGATAATACGGCCGAGAGTTCTGCATCGTATATATACTTCAGGGATAGCTAGCGGAATGGTCAGGGGTGCACGCATGCATCGCTCGTCGGAAGCCAATTAGGCTAGTCAATCAATGGATTCGACAGTTGTAATGTTCGCTTTAAAGTGTGACGAAAAGATGCGTCTTTTACAGCCTGGATGCTCAAACATTCCACCTGAAATGGAAAGACCAACATGGCTATTCACACCACACCACAACGTTACGACGCACAGATCAGGGATGTGTGTGAATTGGAAAGTTAATTCAAGCTCCACGCAAGAGGGGTTGGAACAACCAGGACCAAAATGACCCCGTGCGAATCGACAGAGTCGCACGGCGAAGTTGTTGAAATGTGGTCATCTGAGACCAAATTACTTGCTTTCGTTTCACCAACCCTAGTTTTTGCGGCATTGGGAATTAAGAAGACTGAGCAAGTCATTTCCTACACGGTGTTAGTCATGAGGGTTCGACTACTGACGGAAAAAAAGAGAGGTGAACCTCCCGGCGGAAGTACTGCACTGTTGATGTCTAAGCGAGCTGATCAAGGTCTGGACTCGATGAGCCAAAATAAATATAGACCCTTCAAGATATGGAATGATCTGCCCTTCCACTGGTCTGGTGTTTAAACTAGATCGAATAACGGCCACGGATTACGGTTAGAAGGGTCTCCCGAATGGGCCCCGTCGAGTAGGCGTGCGAGATCATTGGAGTAAACAATGAATGGAACAAGGGTAAGAACAGAATCGTGACCAGTTTCGGTTGTGTCAAGACTGAGCAAAACGGACGTGGAGAGAATCAGTTGAGTGTGTGTGTGTATGTGTGGCAGTGCGGCTATCCCGGCTCTTTACACCGTACATGAGGGATCTGGTCGGGTGTGTAAGATCTTCTGGTTGGGTAGAGTCGGGACGGGTTAGGTGTCGGGTTGCTTCTACTTCTGCTCCGATTGCGTCCATCATGGTCCCCTCCGTTCCTCGGCTGCTCACTGTCCTCAGCGCACGATGGGGGTTGCTGCTTCTGGGGTCGGTCGCACGGGACCTCTTTAGAAATTCGGCTCCTTTCAAAGCAGTTTGAGTTCACCACGACTCCGCCGCATGAGAACGAGATCTGAATTGTTTGGTCAGAACACGTGATGTAGTGAAATTTGACAGCTCCAAGCGCCCAGGATTCACTCGTTGTGGTTAATGGCGATGATATGGTCTGGAAGCATTTCGCTCTATCGTAAATCTTGGCATCCATCTATGTGCTCACCTTCACGAACTAAAACTTGTAACTGAGAACTGAGGGCGGCGGTGCCTCCTTTTTCTGGACTTGGGAGTCGCGTCTTTGTTGTGTGTGGACCGTAACCGGACTTGATCCCGTAAGACGGTAGTCGTCAAAGTCACCAGTTTGTTATTTCGCGGGAAACATGTAAATCCGCCAGTTGGGGGCGGCTCCATATGTGCTTCAAGTTGAAGTCAACTAGATTAATGAGATGCGGCTCTCACCCATGTGCACCCTTGGCACTTGCCCTCTTCGCTCATGTGTTCCCATGGGCCCTTCAGTTCCTATTGAACTTGGTGGTCCCAAAATGCTCTTCGAAAATCCCGGAGGACTCTTTCTGTCCAAATGCGTAAATCGCCAGGGTTAGGGAGACCTAGAACCATTGAAGGAATAAATGGTCATTGTATTGAAACTCGCAATGAGAAGCCCCTTTACAGCAGGCAACTTGGTTTCTGTTGGTGTAACGCTTCCCATGCCAACCCTTCCTGGGCGCCCTGACCCCCCCTCCCTTCGTGGTTTTATCGGCGTTTCGGCTGTCACCTTCTCCTTTACTCTGTTCAATAAACCGCCATAACGGTACCCGGGCACTTCCTAGCTGGGAGAAGCCGCAAAGGATTCATGTCGCCAGCCAACTTGGATCAATCTCAACGATACACTTCCTCACACATCCATTGCGCACGCATATCTAACCTGATTCGACCTCAATACTATGTGTTCTCGTCTGATCCATCTAGTCCACAGTCGTGGTCTTGCACCTCGTGCAAAACTTGCCTTACTCTGCCAAGGTTAATCGTTCCGTTCCCCCACTTCGGCCCAATACCATTCTTCCACATTGTCCTCGGTGGCAATCATGTTCCGAAACTGTGAGTTTGTTCTTCTTCCCAAAGTATCGTGTAACAACATCAAACGCAATATCAAAAATTCAACGAGGAAGCTGAGGAAAATCCATCGCGTTTAGTTCAGGACTCACATATAAGGGTCGCGATACCCGACTGCCTATCCGTTCACTCTTTCCCTTTCCCCCCATCTCTGCCCCCCTCTCTGCCTTCCCTCCCCCTCCCTCCTTCATCTCTTCCTTCCTCTTCGTCTTCTTGCTATCTTGTGATATTCTAATCATCATAAATTCTGGTTGCTCTCTTGAATACCCCCCATCCTTGCATCGTCATCAAGCTCAACCTTTTTGGGGAATCGGCCGAAGGGCGGACCGAATCCGCGTCCACACCGGGATCGAGCTCTAAAAAGGCTTGCTACCGTTGCTGGTTGGTTGGTTGGTAGATTGATATCCATTCGTCGTTCAACGACAAACAACTACTTCGATGAGTCGCTCGGAGAATAGTAGCAGTAGCAGTGTTAGTCGCAATTTCACTCAGGCTCGAGCTCAGGTATGTTTCTGGGAGTGTTTGTTTATGTTTGCTCTTTTTCTTGCTCTGTTTTTTTTTTTTCTTTCATATTGCATCACATTGGCTACCTTCACTCTTCCCGGTCCCCGGGCCCTATATACACGCTCGATTAGGGGCCTTGAACACCTCGCTTGCGTTGCTTGCGATCCTTGTCACTCGTGACCCTGGATCCGCTCGTACGACAGGTCACCAGAATCCTCTAAGCCACCCGTTCGTTAGGACTCCCTTATCATCCAATTATGTCTTCTCTGTATTCCTTGATTCCCTTCTCTCGTGAATCACCCTATTCCTTGGTTTCTGATCATTGGGAATCTACCCCCCTTCCCCCCCTGCTATCATAAACGCTAATCACCATACCGTCAATACCAGGCTCACCAATCTCTCCATCAACATCAACACGCTGCATCCGCAACGAACGGAAGCAAGAAGAACGCGATCCATAATAATAGTGTGACTCCAGCTCCTGGCCCCCTTGTTGCTACGCCCACTCCGAATTCTTCGGCCTCTTCTACTACTGTGTCAGCGTCTACGTCCTCTTCTACAACTCCAACTCCTACTGCTATGACTACGAATAACACTACGCTTCCGACGATAGCCGGTACGATGGATAAATCCCCTATACCTACTGTCGTCGTTCCTCGTACGCCACCTTCATATCATGTCACTAGCGCCGCTACACGCAATTCCACGGGAACTACGCCACCGATGGCAGAAGACTCTTCTTCCCTCATCGCTACCCCTTCCACGAACAACCCACCCATCGGAAGACACCCATCTCCTCTTACTCCACCTCTTACGCCCGCACACGCGCTCTCCTCTTCGTCAAAACTGATCGAAGAGGTTGACGAAAGTGTGGGATTCGTCGAAAGTAATATCATCGGAAATGATGCTCATTCTACACCTCCTGCATCCGCTGGCAAAGATAAGCCGACGTATGTGGGGGGACAACAAAGTCGTTATGTTCCCCTCACACCCGTCACACCAAAGCAAGGAAATCCGTCTTCTTCTTCGTTTGATTCTCCCCATTCGTCTGGCACTAATTCCCTAGTGGAGCCCGTCTCTATCTCAAGTTCGCCATATGGATTATCTTCAGATGAGGTCGTCGGCTCCACTCCGAACGGCGGGTTGGATACGGGTATTGGATTAGGCGGTGTTAGTGTGGTGGGCGTGGAGGGGAATCTCGATGCTCCACAGTCACCGGGTCGATTTCTGTTTTTGTACGTGGGTCCAGGCCCAGTGGGAGCTGGGGCATCGACGGTGGGATCTGAATGTGAGAAGGGGAGTGGTGGCTCCGAGGCTACGATTGGCTCGTGGGATGTTGAAAAAATGAAGGAGGAATTTGGGGGTGAGTTTCGATTTCATTGGTCGTGGTTTTTTTTTTTTTTTTTCAAGAGAAATTTCTCGTAACTGATGCTGTCCTCGACCGTTCCCGATAGCATTTGGTGATTTGAAGGGGATGTATATTGGCTTACTGGAAAAGCATGGCATCGTAAGTTGCACCTTCCGATCTACACCCAAACTGCTGAACGTCATATCGATACACGCTCCATTCCACGCCTTTCCCTCACCCTCCATCCAACCCCATGACCCTCCCCCTTGGACTATTACATCATCATCAACTCCTGAAATTTCAATTCTGATCTCTTTGATTTCGCTTTCCCCCCCCCTAGATTATACTGGCGTTTTATGATGTCCGTACCGCTATACATGCGCATCAAGCTTTCCTCTCGTCGAGGTTCATCCCCTCGTTGCAAATGACGAACAACGACAATGGGAAGAAAGTTGCATCTAGATTCGTTTCAATTGGAGAACTCTACCGCGTAAGCGCTCTCTTCCCCTTTTTTTTCTCCTCAACACCATGGATGATTTTTCCGTTGTTTATCGTCCTCCCCCCCTTAACTTCGCCTTTTGCTTTATCTCCGAAATGAACTGATCGATCAAATCCTCCTCCCCCCCCCGATACAGCTCGTTGGACCTTCGAAATTTATTTCAGAGTCAAATGGTACACTCGAGATCACGCTCACTCCAGTATCCCCTCTTTCCGCAATGGTGCCATCTCCCCATCCTGCTTTTCCTGCCACTTCAACCGGAACACCGCCGACGTTACGTAGGTTTCTGGAAAATTATGGAGATCTCATGAGTTTCCAAGTGCAGCAAGAGAGAAAAAAGCCACCGCCACAAGCTTCGCTACCCGAAGAAGCCCAGGGTCCTTTTGTGTTGGTGTATAGAGTCGAGTATTTTGATTGCAGAGCTGCGAGGGTCCTTATTACCACTTTTGGATCTTCCGACGCCAATGCTGCAGTGGGCGACCAACCCAACAAAGGAAAGAAGGGTGGTGTGGAAGGAGAAAGAGGTATCGTTCGACTTTTCATCGAAGGTAAAGGAGAGGGGGTCGTGAGGCTGAGCGTTCAATTGGTGGAACATCCCATCCCTGAGGTAACCCTTGTCGCTGCCGCCAACGATGGCGGTATGGGGAAGGAAGGCGTGGGTAATAATGATGGTGGCGCTGCCAGTGAGGCGCCTCCTGGCACGCCGCTGTTGCCATCTTCAAAGACAAAGGCGTTATTGGATGTCGATAATTCGCGAAAGCGAACGACGCCTTCTCCACCTTTTACGAGACGTTCTTCGACTGGCTCAGCGTCTTTCTTACCTGGCGAATTAACGAGTTTGCAGATGGAGCTTGGAGCTATTGCGAGGCGTTTGCAGTCGAAGAAGGATGAAGACTCTGAGCAGGGGGATGTTCAACGTTCTGCGAACGAAGTAGAGGAGAGGGAGGGTGAGGATACTGGAGCAGCCTTTGAAAGCTCTGGTACTGGTGGAGATGAGCAGAATGCTGCCATTTCGGGATCTGGTGGAGGTGGACGAAAGGGTAAGACGAAAGCTACTCCAAGGACGGCACCTGCTACGCCTCGTCGCGATCTTTCTATTCTTCCTGATTTAGTTGCTTCCCAAACGCGACAAGGACATCCTCATTCCACTTCTTCTATTTCTTCCCGATACCCTTCCATTTCTTCTATTACCTCCAATGGTCTCGGATTCGCTCCTGGTCATCAAGCCGACGCCAATGGCGCCGCAGACGAATTGTATAAAGAGGAAATTAAAAGCGCAATTGGACGCGTAGAAGGCGAGATGGCACTTTTTGCTCCAAGCGGACTCGGTAATCTGTCATGGAATCATGGCCCGAATTCAGCTCCCACCATTACCGAGTGGGCGCCTGCTAGCGCTATCGTTCCTCCCCATACACCGTCCCCGCATGCTCCCTGGGCAGCTCCGCATCACTACGCTCAATCTTATTCAGCTCAGTACTATCATTCGAACTCTCCTGCTTCTAATGCTCCTTCCTCGAGGGTCGCAGCTCCCGTTACCCTTGCGCTTCCACCTCCCCATCCTGGCATGATGCCTGTTTCGCTTTCGCCTGTCCCTCATGTCGTACATTGGGGTTCGCCTGAGGATCCTGCAACAGCATCGCACGCACACTTGTTCACCCCGCCTTACATTCCTGCGTACTCACCTCAGCCTGCCGCCGAGCCTTACGGAGTGGAAGCCATGAACGGGAGTGATTCCTCAGACCCTGGAGACAAGACGGTCGCGAGTGCTATATCAGACCCAGCGAGGCTCTACGACGTATACCCTCATCCCAACCTTAACATGGCGATGCCACCTTATGCCTACGCTACACTTTCGCAAACTCACACTGCATCCCCTAACTCTGCTCATTTTCAATCGGTCGCGCCCAACTATCCTCTCCCCAGTGTTACCAACCACCCCTCGCCTCCACCCCACCATGGCCATGCCACTCATTTTCCGCTTGCTCACCACTCCATGCCTTACTACGACTATGCGCCATACGCACCTGGCGTGTACCTTCAGCATGGCCACGCATCTCCCCTCCCCGGATTAGCAGCACCGTCGAATGCCTCTGCATCGGCGAGTGATTCGCCTCATGTTGGGACGCCTACATCTGCTTCAGGATGGGGCCCGGAGGACCACGCTGCGGAGGGCGCCCATCAATCCACAGCGCATTATTCCGCTCAAACGACGGCGGGCTCCGTCTCTGGGAGCGCAAATACTCGTTCCAGTAGCGACAGTGGATTGGAAGCCGTCACGAAGAATCCAAGATGGAGAGGGAATGCGTATGTAGGTCATGAAGTCCACGGCATGCTGAATGGGTCTGCGGATTCGTCTCTTTCCGCGGGCTCTTTGCCGACCCGAATGAAGTCTCAACATCACGAAGTCAAAATGCCAACAACCCCCGGCCAACGGTTCTCCTCAAGTTCGGCCAGTCTTGCCTCTGGGTCAGGCTCTTCCTTGGTTGGGGCTCTAGGCCGCGGTATCCATGGATCTGGACTTCGTACTAGTATGACGCTTGGTGGGATGAATAGAGAGAGGAAACCCATCCCTGAAGCGAATATTATCGATGTGGAGAGGATCGAGGCGGGGTTGGATACGAGGACTACGGTCATGTTGAAGAACATCCCAAATAAGGCAAGTTGATGTTTTTGTTTCGATTGTTTCCCTGGTTGACTTTGAAGTGGCTATAGATGACCTCGAAGGATTTGCAGAACTTTATTGGGGCAGTGAGTTGTTTTTTTTTTCCTCTTTGAATCTTTGGTGGGGTGTTCGGGAGTTGAACGTGTGGTCGACGATAGGTTTGCCCTCGAGCCGTCGACTTTCTTTATCTCCGTATCGATTTTCAGAATCAGTGTAACGTCGGGTAAGATAGCCCTGATCCGAAGGAATGATTCTACTGAGCCGATCTCCGACTTCTTTCAACATAGATATGCGTTCGTTAACTTCATTGAGACCACAGACTTGCTGAAGTTTTGTAAGCAGTGCTTGGGCAAGAAGTGGTATGTATGCATACCTTTCGAGTCCTAACTGATGGATTCACTTCACCCTCCCAGGAACATGTTCCAATCCGAGAAAGTGTTGCAAATGAGTTATGCCAATTACCAGTATGTCCAGTCGCGTATCTCTCGAATCCCCTCGAATGCATCTTAATCACATCGCTCTTTGGCTTAGGGGCAAATCAGCTCTCGTCGATAAATTTAGGAATAGCGCTGTTCTGAACGAACGTCCTGAATGGCGCCCACAGCTCTTCCATTCCGAAGGCCCCAGCAAGGGTCTTCCCCATCCCTTCCCTGGTAGGTTCCAGTGTCCGAGCGCCTTGATAGCTGTCCCTTATATTCGTTCTAGCATCTAACAGTAGTATTCGCCGTGAAAGGTCTTCCCATATCAAAGCCGAGGTGGGCGACCCCGTTTCCCGCCCTTTGATCAGCCCTCTGACTTGCATTATAGGGAATGTACAATACGCTCCGTCATCAGTAGTAAAATCATTCTTTTCATTATCGCCGCTGACTCGCACGTTATAGCCTCAATCGTCAATCATCTCTCTTCTCTCTAATTATATACCATATCTTTACGTTTTATGAGTCGATCAGTGCTCAACAAATTCCATTTGCTTTTTTTCGTGGGGCTCATCGCCCCAACCCATTTATGTATCGCTTGTCCTTCTCTTTTTTCCCTGTCACCTATAGTCCCTATCTTCTCTTCCTTTTGATGAATCCTTTCCTCTCTCACCAAGATTGCAACCCTTTCTGTGTTATTTCGGTTGCACATTCAGTTTTCAAGCGATGACTTTGAGATTTATATGAAGGGGTAGTTTGCCCTTGCCGTCCTCCGTATTCACGGTGTTGGCCTTGAGCACCCTCAGGCTGTGTGACATCACTAATCGGTTCTGGCCAGGATAGTGGACATGGCACCTACTACTCATGACCTGGCCTACCTGATAAGGAGAACTTGGTGAGGGTACTCCAATCTAAACAGCCACATTCCTGCGTTAGTGTGGGAACATTCTGGCCCAGAATCCACCATGTGACTACTCAGTGCCAGGCCACGGATATATTCATTCTTTCAAATTCATTTCTTTTCCCTCAGTTCTTCACTGAGACTGAGTCATTTGCTCATAGTCCATCAATAGTGTCACTCATCAACAAATAACATTGTAACTCTTCACCTGTATGCATGGACTATAACACAGAGAGTACAGTCAGTTATATGAAAGTTAAAGTAGCAAAGAAAGTGTATCCAGTGTGACTACTGGACTTATCTGGAGCTCCAGGGTAATTAAATGGAATCAGCTAACCAATACAATGGGTATAAGCAGAGGTGGGGTCAAAGTCCAAGGTTGGAGCTAAGACTGGAGGTTCCAGAGACAGAGATGCAAACAGGATTCCAGAGCAGAGGTCCGGAGTTGGGAGCATAGGTGTTGCATACTCATCTGGAAGGTGTTGAGGTTGAGGTCAGACCCAGAATGTTCTGGAGTCAGACCGAAGGTGGTGTTGGAGCCAGAGGTGGGATAACCTCTTGGGAGTTGGCAAGGAGAAGGTGATGGAAGGGAAGTAGGGCTCTGGAGTCAGTTTCAAAGTTCCAGGAGCCCGGAGCAGAGGTCAGGATTGTATGGATATGACAGTAATATGAACATGTGTAAATACATGCAGTGAGGGTGCTTCCTCCAACAATCCTGAGGGTGTATGCTGCATGCATGCATGTACTGGTAGGGCTCCGGGTGGATCGGATTATCCTGGATGATCCGGAATTTTCAATCCCGGATGCCAGATTAGGATTGGGGGTCAGGATGTATTCTTGATCCGGGATTGGCATCCGGGATGATCCCAGATGATCTGGGGATGGAGTCCCATTGCTAGCATGCAACTAATGGCCCCCTTATTGGTTTGGGGGCCTCCGAAATTATTGTATTGTAGCAAAGTCATCCGAGATATTTTAACTCCTGACTCATTGTCCGTGCACATTGCTGGCTGCTGTCCAGAGGGGTGTCAAGACTGTTTCCCACGGTCTAGACACACTTTACATAGTTGGATAGCCCTATTGAATAGCTTCCAGAATATACAATTTGAGAGTGAATTGACCAATAAATTATCAAGAAAAATGCAAAATACTTTTTTGGACGCGAGTCTGCAAATACTTGTGGCTGTCCAAACTCACTGTCTGTGCACAATGCTGGCCACTGTCCAGAGGGGTGTCAGGGCTGTTTCCCACGGTGTCAACACACTTTACACCAATGGATAACCCATTTGAATAGCTTCCAGAATATACAATTTGAGACTAAATTGACCAGTAAATTATCGAGAAAAATGCAAAATACTTTTTTGGACACGGGTCTTTTGGGGTAACTCAATGTCTGTACTCATGCTGACCACTGTGTCAGGACTGTTTCCCACAGTGTCAACACACTTTACATTGATGAATAGCCCATTTGAATAGCTTCCAAATTTATTGTATGATCGGAATTCAGGTAAATACATGTTAAAATACAAAGAAATCTTAAGATGTTATTATCCTGGATCATCCCGGATCATCCAGGATTTTCATCTGGCGGATCCGGATTGGCCATTGGGAGGTTGTCCCAATCTGGGATTTCTGATCCTAATCTGATCCTATCCGATCCACCCGGACCCCTATGTACTGGGTTGCACCCTGAAGCATCTGGGGTGCCTGGGGCTGGGCATGTTGTGTGCACATCTTGGGCAGGTCAATGGTACATAGATATAGATGAAAGTTGTCCATGTAAGATAGAAATAGAGATAGAGATAGAGGAGAAGATAGAGAGAAGGAAGAACAGGAAAGAAGAACATGAAATGGAGAAGGGGGGAAAGAAGGGGGTACCAGGTGAGGTGGACCCAGGTCGAGGTGGGTTGGGTGGGTGTCAGGGTTCAGCACCCTGCCTTAGGGTGCCCTGGACTCCCCACCTACTTTACTCCCTTTATTCTTTGATTGTTGCCTTGTTGTTGCCTTTGTGTGTTGTGTACACATGTGCACTGGATAGTGTGGGAACTTTCTGAGTGAGCAGCTCACCCAGAATGTTCCCATGGGTCACAGCCACATTTCTGGGGGAGCAACTTGCCCAGAACATTCCCATGCTTACTGGGCACTGCCACCTGGATGTTCCCTCTGGGTCACACTACACAACTCTAGGAGCTGTATAGTTGTGGGCATGTGACCCATTCCTTTATATAGCAACCATGCGGGGAGATGAGACCTTTACCCTTCTTCTCATCTCATGCCCCACATAGGCAAGTGTACATATTTCACTTTCTTTTACTATACATCTCATGCCCTGCATAGTGTGAGGACAGGTTAGATGGGGGTTGAGGTCAGGGAGCCTCTGAGTCCAAGGCCAGGCCCTGACAGTGGGTGTGCCCTGACAGTTGTAAAGGCTAATTAGCCTTTTACCTCTACCAGGCTGTTGAATATATAGCCCACTAAAGCTTAGATTCAGACAGACTAGGAGGCAAACAGGGGAACAGAACATTACCATCCCCAAACCAGTACATATCCCATTTCTGTTGGAGAATATACTGTGCCTACATGACCAGGAGCCTGTCACACATCACGCTGGCCTTGTGGGACAGCTCAAATTGGTCCTTTGTCACGTGTCACACTGGGTCTGAGGCTCTGGGTCCCTCATCACGCTGTGAGTACGGTTTCAAGGTGGCTGTGACATTTTCAATTCAAACAAATTTTCAATTTCCAAAAAAGGCAATTATACTTCATGAATTAAAAACGAAAATCGCCATTTGACACTTTTCGCAGATTTTTGCAAGAGGGGAATTTTCGAATGTTCAAATTTAGAAATATATGCTGCCTGCTTATTTTGTTGTGCAGGAAAATGCCAACTCATGTGTCATGCCTCTGGAGGTGTGTCATGCCTTGAAGGGCCGCTTGCGGCAGGTTCTCCCTTGTCATGCTCAAACCCAAGGCAGCTCCCAGTTGTGTAGGTACAGTAATATGTTCCCAATAGTATAGAGTTTAATAACAGCCTATACCAGCATGGCTCAAGGGCAAGTAGTGTATGGATACACCCTAGAGGTCGTGGGTTCAATACTGGGCTTGTCCATGATTTTGTGTCCTTGCCATGTGACCTGGATTTGAAGCCATTTGAATTTGCCAATATTCTGGAGTTTAACTTCCGAGTTCGGACTTTCCGGACTTACTTTGGACCTTGCAACTATTGCATTGTCCCATTCAATTCTGCTATACTCCCTCATTCCTATTTGGGCTGCTGCTTCCTTCTATTCAGTCAGCTAGCCATTCCCCACTCCCATCCTCCTTCCATCCTCCTTGGGCCTTGGCCCTTCACTCCTCCTTTGGGAAACACCATTGAGTCAAACCCTTGACCCTTGGTGCTGTTCCTCCTTCCAGCTCCCTTTGTCTCCTTTCATCCTACCCTTGTTATAGAAATATATAGGGTTATGGCAGCTCCAGGGCCGGGGTCGGACAAGATGACAGTAAACCGCTAAGGTATATTTTCGGAGTAAATAATTGTAAATACATGATTTCGTGCTTGATCTCCAACACTTGTTCCTTTTGATTCCAGACCCCTCCTTATATACAATGTACCTAGTAACTTGTAACCTTAGTCCAAAATTGACTTGATTCCTCCCTAAGAGACTTCCCCTCTGCTAGATCTGAAATTAGGGACCCCCAGGACAACCAGCAATGGCACAGCGCTCTGCATGAGTTGCTGAGGCCGAGGTCCTTCCACATTAAGTCTCTGATTCCATTCCGGAGTCATCCGAAGCTGCCATATCTAACAATTACTCTATATAATCTAAGAGTTAACTGCTATGTTGTCCAACTGCTGTTGACCTGGTACTTTCAACAGGTTATGAGCCCAGGTGGCTCACCTGGACACCTGAGGGATTAAGGAAATCTGCCTAACTCTCATGGTACATAGTGCTGTTGGTGAAAGTCCTTGAGTTTGAAGCAAGAATTTGCAATAAGTCCCACTGGGCATGCGCTTGTTGAGAAAGTCCTCAAGTTTGAGGCAAGAATTTGTGATAAATCCCACTGGGCACACGCTTATTGAGAAAGTCCTTGGGTTTGAGGCAGGGATTTTGTGATAAGTCCTGCTGGGCACACATTAATCGAAAGTCCTCAGGCTTGAGGCAGGAACCTGCAATAAGTCCCGCTGGGACTGCATCGATTTTGGAAAGTCCTATTTATTAGGCACCTGTAATCTCAAAGCCCATGGGACATGGCACTTTATCACTGTAAGCCCTTAGACAGGCATGCAATGTTTACCTCACATTTTCCTCTCACCCCCTCCTTTCCACATCATCACCTCTCTTTAATTTTTCTCACACCTCATCATACCACTGTTATTCAGAGGGTGAAAATTTTACACTCCTTCCTCATTCAATCATCATGCCAGCCACAACCCCATTCGACAAACTAAATGACGACAATTATACAGCCTGGTCCCAGTACATGAAGGCTGACTTGGTCCAGAAGAAACTCTGGGGCTATGTTTCTGGAGATATACCCCGACCACTTGGAAGTGCACATCACAGGACTGTTCAGGCCTGGCAAGAAAAGCATGATATTGCTGCAGCTGAGATTCTACTCAATGTCTCCCTGAAATATATCAGTCATTGTGATGACACTGATGCACCTGGAACCTGGAACAAACTCAGAACCATATTCTGCACAGAGGGCAGTAGTTCTATTGCTGCACTCCACTATCAATTCAATTCTATGCACTACAATGGGACCACAATGCGAGAATGGATTACCAAAGTTGAAGATGCCACACATCATCTTGAAGCTGTCAAGTCCCCTATGATCCCAATTGACATCATCAACATCCTAATTCACAATCTCCCAGAATCATACTCCCCCCTAATTGTCATCATCGATACTCTGTTGGATGACCCCCTCTGACCCATGGACTCTACAACCATTCAAGATGTCATCAGGCGACTTCTAAATGAGGAAATTCGCCTCACTAACACTACACACAATGGAGAACCCTGGGCTGCCAAAGTTGCCAAGGAAAGTAGGAACACAGACAGGTGTTATAACTGTGGGCAACCAGGACATATCAAATTCAAATGCAAACTTAGCCCATATGTCATATCCATACCAACTCCACCTCACCTCCACTCCACTCTGCCACTGTTCCAGTCCACCTCCAGTCCATCCTCCCCCTGCACCTCTGCTATACCCTCCAGTTCACCTCCACTTCTGATCTCCAGTACCTTCTCTGGTACCTCTTATCCTTATCCTCACCTTATACATTTATTACAGTGAAGTGCAAAAAAATCTGCTGGTTTCGATTTTGATGGAAGCAATCTGGGGTGGAGTCACCTGCTACCAAAATCAGGATTTGAATGGAAACCCCAATGGCACCGTAGAACTCCCCCTAAATGTGGTGCTTAAGCACCCAAACTCATTGCCCTTGCATCAACAAACCATTAACTCTGTCTAGCTAATATCTTGAGTGCAGCACAAAAGACATCTTGGTGCATTATGACCCAATAAGAGATTGCTGAGGCCTTGGGAGTGTCCACATACTGTTTGGAAGTTGCTTGCTGCTCCATACACAGATCATCAGGATTGAGTTGAGACAAGAGGGTGACACTGAGTGCTTGGTATCCATGCAGTGAATGTAAGTACAAAAATCACATCTAAATAGAACTTGTGATGTATGATCCCAAGTTCCTTGACAACCTCAGCCTGGTTTGAATCTTGACAAATTACAGGCTGTGCTTAGAAATGAGTTTGAGATTGAATCAAGCACTTGGGCAATTTTCAGAGCGCTACATAAGCATAGTCTCACCAGAAAGAAGGTTTGTCTTCCGACTCCCAACTGCCTTTCAAACCCTAATAAGCACCTGTTTACTATGAGTTTATGTGCAGGGATGGGTTATTCTTTCACGGGAGTGGAATATGGAAGAGAATGTTATTGTTCAAATAGCGTTACATGGATTTCAGGTGCTGGTCAACCTGCTCCTGATAGTGATTGTTCGGTCCCATGTATGGGGTTGGGGAGTGCTACATGTGGAGGTGGGTATAGGATTGAGATATATGCACCATTTGGGTACTCAATGTTTAGCTTTTGGAATATGAAACAGAATTATGTGAGTTTGTAGGGGGGATGGGAACACTTGAGTGGATTGGGGGGGCTGATATTGTGAGGTTAGAGTGGATGCTAATGGGTGGATGCTCTTTACCTATGTGGACTACACACATGGTAAAGTGCTTCTCAGGTTGTTCAGAGTCTTTGGTTCACTGATTTTTTTCTTTTGGCTTGTAGGCATCATCCAGTATAGGCATGTGGCTGATTTGGTGCCTAGTTCCCCTCATGTGTTCTTCTGCACCATTTCCTTGTGTATTATTAGCTGATTTCTTACCTTGTAAGTGGTCCTTGGGCCTTGTATTATGTAATTACGATGTACATGTAGTCACATGGGTAAGCAGTAACTTCCAGTTAACCGCTTACACACACTGTAATATACACACCATCATATCACTTATGGCCTCATGTGCTGAGCAACTCCACTGAGACCTCACCCATCTTGCTCTGCCATTTTTGCTTCATCCACATTTGTTCTTGAACTTGTTCCTGTGCTTTCAGCATGTCTGAACTTCATATGGTGTCAAGCACATGGCAAGGAGGGCAGTGTCCCTGGACCTTTCCCCAGAAGGAGGCCAGAGGTAGAGAATGGGTGGAAGGACCACAGCCTCAGTGACTCGGAGAGGAGCGCTGTGCCTATGCTTAGGAGTCTGGTCCTTAACTTCAGAACAAGAGGGTGTGAACTCTGGGGGATAGTCTTGTCGATTTTGCACTAAGGTGCCATCAACTACAGTACAGGACTTATATACATAATAGAAGACAAATGGGAGCAAAGGGGAAAACCCAAGGGGGACTACCCGCTTGCTGGGTCAGTGAGCTCATGAGAGAATTGCCTTATCGAGCATTGTGGAGTGGGTAGGTGAAGGGTGGAATTAGCAACAGCTACTGGAGAGTGGGAAAACCTTTTCAGAGTGGGCAGAAGTCCTAGGAGGTCTGTAGTAATATTGGGTAGGTAGAAATATTACAGGGAAGTGCAAAAAAATCTGCCAGTTTTGATTTGAACAGGTAAGAGGGGCAGGTGAATCCTCTACCTAAAAAAGTTGGCAAGATCATGGCTCACAGCAGGGATTTCCTTATTTGGATCAACAGCTCAAGCACCGGGGTCTTCACCCTCGGCAATCACGGCAAGGGCAGCAACAGTTTGAAGAATAAAAAGTGAATATCATGGTTACCAATTAGATGCTCAGTACAAACTTAGTGCCATGGACAAAGAAATCATGTCGGTGAGCCCTATCTCCATAAGTGGCCCAGCCATATGTATGTGATGATGCATGATGGTTGACCCTGTCTCATCCACAAAAATGAGTTGATTGGCATTGTAAGTCACACTGAGGAAAAAGATTCCATGATAAAATCATGCACACGTGAGGATTCCGTGAAAAATCTTAGCACTGTGTAGGATTCTTGGTGACAGGATTGGGGTTTCAGACTATCTAAATCCTGCGCAAGGAGGATTTTATCATCAAAACTTATGTGCACGATAATCTTTTAGTCGTAATATTACTATTTTGTAATGCGCGTTATGACGTGTACATCATGAACCTATGTCCTGTTGGGCACCCATAGATAGTGAATCGTCCTTGAATACAGTGCGAGACCAGGATCCGCTGCGATCTACAATTGCCCACCGTGGATCCACCTTCCCAACCCTGAGTCGGCCAACAACGGCACATACAGCATTTAGATCCACAACCTCGACATATGAGGAGACCAATTTGAAATATGTCAATTCCGAAGTTGCATCGTGTCCTTCGGTGTCCAGTGTTGTGATTACAGCAAGAAGGTGTATTCTTGGCTCACCATTCTTTGAAACCCTATTTGGTGGAATGGCACATTCAAGTATATATTCGAGGTGACCATAAAAGACCTGCTGGACGAACTCGAGCTCAGCCTTGGGGAGATGTGCTTTGATATCGATGTTAAGTTCATACTATGTGGATATATTTATGTGTATAAGCGATGAAGGGAATCCTAGTGATGCATCAATATGGTTGGACATACCCGGACAAAAGATGCGTCGTGTAAATTCCGTTCGTTCACACTTGCACTGTGAGCGATCGCCCCACGAATAAGATCCCCACCATTTCCAATGCGAACTTTGGTCCAGCGTGGCATTACTTGCGGGATGAGCTCCAGCCAGAAGCTCATTGTACTGCCAAACGACATACGGAGTTGCTTGGCAACTTTTTTGCGAATGGAAGGCTCAGGGATATGGGAGCGCGTGACTGGATTGCGTAAGAATGAGATAGGATCTGTTGAAATTATCTTGAAGCATAAGGACATTGGTAACACAGAACAATAATGCACAATCAGATTGGGACAAATACTTCTCATGTTGCGAGGGAAGGTTTTTGTCGGGGTTGATTGGCATGAGATCTGTAAGGTTGAATCGGTTAATGATCTCGAAGAGCTGAGCTGCCTGGTATTGTCATAAGGTGATGGGTGTGAACGGTTCCCTTCGGGATTTGATGCACGGGAGCAATGACCCACACCACCTTTCCATAATGAATGTCCAATTATTACAAGGGGGTCCATTGTTGCGGATATCAAGAGGGATGTGAAGGAGAGCGTGGACAGTGAGTGGGCATGCGGACAGTCATTCGGAAGAAAACTGGTAGTAGATACTACATGGTAGACAACCACTGACCTCAGCTCATCGTTAGGCAGAGAAATAGCGTCAGGGTTGCTTACCTCTCATACTCTTTCACATACACAATAATGTCGTCTTCAAGTTCGATTAAATCTTGCTCTGTGAAAGAGTACTGTATCGTGCATTTGAGAATCGAGTTGAACTTCATAAAATGGTGATAATATTTTGGTCTGTTGAATCGGCCTCGCAAGACATAGGGTGCGATATGAATCATCCAACAGGACCAGTCTTCGGCAGTGAATAAGTGTCGCTCAGTCCAGATGTTAGGAGTGCGATGACCAAAGCCTGAGGGAATTGTGTCACCTGCACGAGAGGTTTCCTCCCCGATCTGCTCCCACACATTGTCAGGGATCCGGTAGTGCTCTTTTCCCTCATCCAGATCCTTGTATCTCCCTTGCCAGAAGGAGACAAGATTTTTCGAGTGATTCTCCAGACACAGATGCATCCAATTGTGAGGGAAGGAGTGGGTGATTGAGATTGATGGTAGCTCAGTAAGAACACATTTCCCATTGATGCCAGATTCGCGCTGGACTCTGGCCAAGTTGACTTTACGTCCACCTCTGAGGGAATCAAGTGTCGAGATAAATGAGAAATACTTTGATTCTGTATGGAGTAGGTGACTTTGAGAATCCCAGTATGTTCCATTTCCTGTAGGCTGGTTACGCGGTGGCGTATGAGAAACATAGTGGGTCTTGCTCCCTGAGAGATTGCGAGTACCCGTGATGTGACAAATCGAACATGGAGTAATACCATTTGGACCTTTGAAATTCATGATATGCTTCATTGCTACCATATCGCCATGACATGATATCAGGTAAACATGGAGCTTAAAAGTTTCGTTCGAGTGAGAGTCAAAAGCTCAGTCACCCTGTGCAAGTAATTTGCATTCATCAACAAAAGGCTGGAGAAAGGAATTAAAATCCTTTGGTGCATTAGGACCTGGAACAACTGCCACTGGGATGACATTTGAGAGTTTCGTACGCTCCTCTGGGGGGAGGTTGAGGTTAATCGCGATTATTGGCCAACATACAGCACCACTGTTGCGCGAGCGCTTAAAGATCTGGAATCCATCAGCCATAATTCCTAAGGCAACATCGCGTGTGTCACTAAAGAAAACATGGCCAAGGGGCTTCCCATCTATTCGTATGAGCCGACTAAGCAGGAAGCGGTAGTGATCTCCATCAAAGACATCGCTGGTGGTGGCACTGTCAAGTTTGAGTTCACCACGATATCGGAGAATCTTGGAGAAGTGGTTGTTGAGATAAAGCGATTTAATTCGTGGACCAACAGGAAGGTAGTGGAATGTTTGAAATGCAGTGCCATTAGATTTGAAGCAAGGATGTTGACAGTATGGACATGAATGGAGATTCTCAAATTCAGCGATAAAACAGCAGCAGCTGTTAACACAGCAGTCATAGGTGTATTCTATGACATGAGAAAGCCTTGACACGTAGGAATGGAGCTTGTATAAGGAGGCAAGGTTGAGTTCACTCTTGAAGCGAGATCGGATGAGATTGTAGGTTGTGTTGGAAAGATCGCCTCGCAGCAATACATCAAACATCTTCAGGTGGATATGGTCAATTTCAGATAATGGTAGGTGGTCTGTAATTGTGTTCATCGGTAAATAACATAAGGGAGATATCTGCTTGATACACACAGAAGTCATTGTGGCAACAGAGTTCAGCATCGGCCTTGTATCTAGAAATGGCCTCCACCCAATCATGGAGAATACTTGGGCTGACATCTTCGAATCCATCTGAGTCAGAAAGATCTTGGCCTCCTAGGTCATCGGAAGTGGCGTTGTCACTGATAGGTGAGTTAGAGGCAATGAACTGTCAGATGGAGTATATCACTCACATATTCCCAAAATCCCGGGTCCCAGTAGGTGAGACAGCATCCAGTTGGTTTCCCATCCCATCTTCATTCATCGCGCTGTCCCCTTGGTTACTCTCAATTTCATCTGAAGGAACAGCAGCGGCTCCTTCCCAAGTGCCAAGATTTCCTGTAGGCTCCTGGGACTGCACCATAGCATGGCGTCCCAAAAGACGTGCTCTCTCCCACTTGCGCTGTCTACGAGCTGTACTAAGTGAGTGCCTGCAAATTCTCCAGGGTGGCGCACCAGAGTGGCCGTGGTCCATAGGGGTGATGGAGTCCTTAGTTTGGATGCAGTACCAGATGAAAACACCAGATGTAGAGTAACAGAGACCCAATAGTGGTTAAAATGTCACAACTGAGGGAAGAGCAATGAGTTGGGCAAATAGCACTTGGACGCGTTGTGTGAATATGTTTGGCATTGTTTATGTTGACTCTCGTATTTCTATCTCACACTCCGTGACTTACATCTCCTACACAACTCACAAACTATGCCTCACCCTACCCAGAAGCGAACCATCTCCCAGATTGATCAAGAGCAGAGGAGGCTGGAGGCAGAGCGTGAAGGTGTGCCCTTTCTCTGTGCCCCGTGCTGTGTCTGGTTCAGGCTCGTGCTATGCTATGGCATCTTCATGTCGGTAGAGCTCCTAGCAGAAGATAACGCATGTAAGGAGCCATTTAAACAATTTATTTGTCTTCAAAAGCTGACTCGAGTCATACAGCACGAAAAAAACGCGTCCAGGGCCAGATTCCAATGCCGCATGGCCGACCTGATCGTTCAAATGGAGGGTATTCCCTTGCTAAGGAAATGCAGATAGACAAGCATATGATGACTCTATTGCATGTAAGCTCTCTCATATCATCAAATTATTGAATACTTAAGACTTCAGCTTCAGGAATCCGTTCGTACCGCAGTCCGTACCCACCTCGGAAAAGCTTTCCTAGATGGGGAAACAAGGTATAACAAAATTGGCTTTCAGTGCCTGGGCGCAATAGCAATCGATGTAAGTATCCTAGTCATTGCTACATTGCAATCCTGATACTGCATTTTACAACTTAGGTGACGAAAGAATTTCCATGGCTTGAATGTGACTATGAAGATGTGTGGCCCCTTGATCCACTAATCAGGACAACGATTGAGAATAGGAAGACTGTTCTCAGGAGACGGAAAAGGGGGGTAAATATGGTATGTAACATGTATACTTTTTCCACCAATCTATTCCCAAAAATCTCCTCGGAAGGTGAATCTGTAAAGGGTAAGTCATCATCCACTTTTCCTCATAGTTACGCATCTGATTCAGCATGTTGGATGTGAGATGCACTTAATCATGGTGCTGCAGCGAATACCAACGGGACCCAGTCACACGGACCTGCTCAGCACAACATGCCCAGTACCAGTGAAGGGAGTCATGATGATGATGGATGCAGTAGGGCGCTGGGACGTGTGCAAAGGAAGAGTAAGTTCCTGGCCCCTGTTTATTCAGATTAACATTATCATAATAGGAGTTGTGCCACGACGGCACATCATCAATGACACTGATGAAGATAGTGATGAAATTAATGACAAAGATATGGAAGATAGCGGCAAGGGTTCTGACTGTGGTGAAGATGAGAATGAACGAAGTGACGTAGGTCCCAATTTCCTCAATTGCAACAAAGGGAAGCGCTGAAAACAGGCTCAGGGTGAAGATCACCAAGCTACACCCAAGAGCACCAATCAGAGGTCGGATGTGAAAGGAAAACAAGGTAAGTTATCATTGGTCTCTTTGCAAGCCTGGTTAGCACAACGGAGGAAATATGTGGAGCCATCCCAAGACCCAAACGTAAGTGCCATTCCACATTAAGCTGGTCCACTGCCATAATCCCAAGCTAGCCCGACCCCTTTGTCGCAGGGTCAGCGTCAGTGAGAGGATGGATCAATCCCCACAGACTAGTTGCGCTGATAGGAATGGGCATGTAGATGGTAGGTTCATTTACTCTCCCTATCTGTCGTTTCTGAAGATCTTCAAGTTGGATACCATCAAACTATCGTTTCAACCTCAAAACCTGTTGCCGCTAGTAGGCCATCGGCAAGAAACCACAAGATTGTCACCCATTACTAGGTACATTTTTACCCTATATAGGTGGGCGCTTAGCATTTTGTTGTGGTTGTGTGCTTCTCTCACGGGTAACATTGCTAGCTACTAACCTTATGTCGCACCGATTACCACACTCCCAACAATCTCTTACTCGATTTGCTCTTAACTCTCTGCTATTCACTTTGAAAATTTTCCGCTGCTCGAGTTCCTGACACCACTACAACTTCATACCTTCTCCCTTTCGATTGTCATCTCATTTGTTGCTCATTTGCTGTGCTCTAGTCATGTTGTCATACCATCATGTTGATAGCTCAATATAATCCTTCGTCCAGTCAGACATAAGCAATCAGTAGACAGGATTTGACCTTTTTTTGAGCATGACTCCCTACAATAACATCATGAATAATTGTAGGATAAACCGACTATTCCCCATTATGTAGCAGGACTTTTCGACATGATTCTGGTCACAATCATGTAAGACAGCGGGATTTCTCTAACATGACAAATTTGGACAAAATCCTGCTTCTCAATGGGATTCTAGTCCTACTTCACGGAAGATTTTCTCATGGAATTTTTTTCTCAGTGGTCACCCCTATATGCCTCCTGAAATCTGCTCAGAGCTGTTCATCATGCTCAGCTGCTGGCCTCTGGATCTAGTTTGGATTCAGACAGAGTTACGATTCCCAGAAACATTGGGTGTTGTATCGACCCTCATAATCGCATTGCCAACATTATTGATGGTGGCTCAGGGTTCGGGGCTATTGCCCTGACATTCTCCCCCCTTGTGTTGCATTTGCGACGCTGCAAGTGGGGAAGGAAGGCTGGACCACAGTCAAGGGTGGTCGCCACTCTCCAGCTGCTCCCTCACCAAAGGGAAAGAAGAAGGGTGGGGTGGAAAGGTGTCAGGTCACGGTCCATGTATGTAGGGGGTCACGTGACCCAGGGAGGTCACTATCGTCCTACCCACTGTGAATCATACATATTTGATACTCACAGCTGGGTTCTAGGACACCCACCTTACACTTTTTTGAGTACTTTTTGTTTGACATCACACTGATCCCTGGCATTGCTAGGAACCACAATTTTATGTGGAAAACAAGTGAGTGTTCATTTTTCATCAAATTCCACTTGCCAGTCCAGCAAGCAAAAGACCCTTGCAACTAGCAAGGGGACAAAACCCACAGTCAATAAGACTGGGAAACAGGTGAAAGTAATGCCAGCACAACCCCTTATGTGCCAGGCAAAGCTGTCACCTGTAGCAGGAGAACCTCACTTTCACGAGGGTGCACAAATTCAGTCATCAGAAGACCCTTGCTTTCGCAAGGAGATGACTTCTCCTGCACTTCACCCAACTCAGTTGGGTACAAAGGCTTCGTGTGATGCCTCCCAGTTGCACAGGGAGCCAAATCCAAGCCAAACTTACGTGGCAAAACCTGCCACGTCATCATTTATGCCCAGGCTCTTCCACCCGGGCCTTAGAGCATTACTCCTCCCATTTTATGTGATGGGAAGGCATCAGAAGGAACCAAACGATTGCTCCTGCTGGCACAGAGAGCCGTTTGGAGCTCCAAAAAATGTGGAAAAATCGTCCACATCCTCAGATTTGTCTCGCGTCACCCGCACGACATCCAGCTTGCAATATTGCAGCAAGCCAGTTCACTCCCAAGTCTATTTGACTGGGAGTTACACAAAACCATCAAACGATCACTCCCACTGGCACAGGGAGCTGTTTTTGATTCCAAAAAATGTGGGAAAATCTTCCACATCTCCAGCATCGTCTCGCATTAACCACAAGACGTCCAGATTGCAATATAGCAGCAATCTGGTTCACTCCCCAGTCTATACGACTGGGAGTTGTCATGAACAACCAAATGACCATTCCTGCTTGCGCAGGGAGCCGTTTGGAGTTCCAAAAAATGTGGAAAAATCGTCCACATCTACGGAATCGTCTCGCATCAGCCACGAAACGTCCAGCTTGCGATATAGCAGCAAGCCAGCTCACTCCCCAGTCTATGTGACTGGTAGTTGTACAAATCGATCAAACAACACCTCCTGCCAGCACAGGGGGGGCCAGACATCGGGTTGGGGGCTGGTTAGGATGGGTTTCGGGTCAGCAGATTCGCCTATCAGCATTGGTTCACTGCTGATGGAGCCCCAGGATTTGTCGGTCGTGACAGAGAACTGTACTCCTTGACTATATGCGTTTTCCCCCTTTGAAGGGGGCCTCAGCTGAACCACCTCCCTTGTGGAACATGGTGTGATTATCTTTTGAGATGGACATGATCAAAGACACCCTGAGTCACTCCTCGTCTCGAATTGTGCAGCATTTTTCACTTATTGTGCTGGCCTGGGTCGCCGTACACAAAGCCAGGGACACTCCAAGGCCATATTTTGGTGAATTTAAGATATGGCCAACCAACATGGAGGTGGAATCCCCCTTGCATGCCATTGTTAGGGCTATTTGGGCCTCACTGGACTCATGAGCCCATGGAAAGGCAGTCATGCAAGACAGGTATGAAACGCTGTCCTACACAAAGACTGGGAAGTGGATGGTAACATTCAATATTTACGGAAGTGGGGCCTAGCTCTCCTAATTGTTGTTAAGCCATGTAAGAATATGTGTACATGTTGCTTTCATCATCTTCATTCTCGTTGCTTTCACTCATCCATTCCTTATTGCTTTCCATCCTGTACTTACCACCTGAATATATTACCAATTATAATGCCTGGGCTCACTCATGCCAAACAGTGCCTGTGCCTTTGCTGTACTACTCACTGCCCACCATGAACAAGAAGGGCATCCATGAACTTTGCAGGTGATAAGATAAGTTGTACATGATGGTCCAATGTTGACAATTCAGTTAACGTTTTCAAAACATTTCCAGGATGTCTCCATTGATATTCAGATAGACCAATTCAGTCCACAATTTTAAAATGTTTCTGAAACATTTTTTGGACATTTTGGACGCTTCTGGTCCCCTTCTAAAATATTTTAAAACATTTTATGGTCTAGAGACCTGTTAGGCACCCAAAAGTACCATGCTCTCACACGGCTACTTAGGGGGGTGAGATCTAGGTGACTAGGCTGGTCAATATACCTGTCAATATACCTGGCCACCTATTGTTGGAAGTTACAGCCCAATGCCACTGGCAGTCCCCAGACTGTACATTCATGCTTTGAGAGCTTTGGGAAGGAGGTGCTTTTGGGGCAATTGATGGTGAACACAATGTTGCTTTGGGCCTTTGTTTTCACTACTGCTCACATTTCACTTCAGTGGCATAGAACTAACATGTAAGGTCAGTGTAGGTGCTGACCTTGTATCTCCTCACTCCTCAAGTCCATCAAAGATATGAGCTTGAATAGAGCTATATTTCAATGAGGTAGAGGAAAGGAGTGAAACTCCATTCATCATACCCCACATCATTTATACATGTAATTACATGTGTTGTATGTTGTTTATAGCGGGGCATTCCTTACATAACAATAGATGTATATAAGGACAGGACTTGCACTGAGAGCCAATACATCACTAATCAACTGTCAGGGCATACACCCTGACCTAGCCCACACCTGGACTCGCACCTGGACTCACACCCACATCTGCATGCACACCCAGCTGTTGCACCCCCTGCACATGCCCTGTGCCAGACACTCCATGGCCAGATGCCCCAGGCCCCGGGTCTCGGGCCTCATGTGACTTCTGGATATCTCCGGAAGTTTTCGATTATATTGGGCCACTGTGGGAAGGTGAGAAGTTAGCTTCCTTCTCACCTTCTTACCCACAGCAGTGTGCCCTGGACAGGGCTGTGTTCCTTTAGGCCATGTCATATCCATGCAATCCCGACCTCCACTCCGGGCTCCCGGAACTCCGAAACTGATTCCGGAGCCCTACTTCCCTTCCATCACCTTCTCCTTGCTGACTCCCAAGAGGTTGTCCCACCTCCGGCTCCAACACCACCTTTGGTCTGACTCCAGAACATTCCGGGTCCGACCCCAACCTCGACACCTTCCAGACGAGTATGCAACACCTATGCTCCTGACTCCGGACCTCCGCTCTGGAATCCTGTTCACATCTCTGTCTCCGGAACCTCCGGTCTTAGCTCCGACCTCGGACTTTGACCCCACCTCCGCTTATACCCATTGTATTGGTTAGCTCATTCCATTTAATTACATTTGCCAATATTCCGGAGTTTAACTTCCGAGTTCAGACTTTCTGGACTTACATCGGACCTTGCAACTATTGCATTGCTCCATTCAATTCCGCTATACTCCCTCATTCCTATTTGGGCTGCTGCTTCCTTTCTATTCAGTCAGCTGGCCATTCCCCACTCCCAACCTCCTTCCTTCCTCCTTGGGCCTTGGCCCTTCATTCCTCCTTTGGGAAACACCATTGAGTCAAACCCTTGACCCTCGGTGTTGACCCTCCTTTCAGCTCCCTTTGTCTCCTTTCGGAGTACCCTCGCTCCTTTTGATTCCGGACCCCTCCTTATATACAATGTACATAGTAACTTGTAACCTCAGTCTGAAATCAACCTGAATTCCCCCAAGAGACTTTCCCTCTGCTAGATCCGAAATTAGGGACCCCCAGGACAGCCAGCAATGGCACAGCGCTCCGCTTGAGTCGCTGAGGCTGAGGTCCTTCCACGCTAAGTCTCCGATTCCACTCCGGAGTCATCCAAATCCGCCCATTCTAACATGCTGCAGAAGAAACCATGAAGGGAAGGAGGAATGATCCTACTTGGGTAATGTGCCAAACATGTTGGAAGTGTGGAAAGATGGGTCATCTTGTCAGAACTGTGTGAAGCTTTGCTGAAGATAGCCATAGGTGACCGAACATTGGCCGCTAGTGATACAGGCATCCTACTCACGACTAACCCCACCGATCTCGAGGTCGAGGCTACTTAGGCGAGCAGGCTGGGATTTCAGCTTCAATGAGTCAGGGGGGAGTGTTGCACCTCGTTCTTGATGTGGTCCCGATATTTCAGAAGGCAGAGGTCTTACAGGGAACAGAGGTAAGCTTAGG